AATTTGTCCATACCTTTGTGACAAATAATTAATGTGACTTTGTCTTCAATATAGACAATAGATAACTGAATATGAAAAAGCATTAAACTTATGAAAAAACCCTTTGTGTGTTATAGTTAAGAAAAATTTTAAAAGTTATGGAGCAATTGAATCATTTTTATGGCAAAAATCAGATTACTTCAACGCAAATTTTGTCTCTTGAATGTTAAGGCGGTTTTACTCCAAAGACAAGAATCGTATCAGCCACAGCAGAAATATTTTATATAGTAATATAAACTCTATAAAAAATATTAAAGATCATACACATGAATGAGTTCTCTACTGCTTTACAGCTTTAGTGCACACACATCCTAATATTTCAAATTAACGCACCTCTCTAACTTCGAATACTAACCTATTACTCAGTAGTTTCTGTTTGTATTCCAACGAAGGTAATACTAATTTCCTGGTACAAGGACAACAGTTCTCGTGGGAGGCGCAAGTTTTAGGTCTACACGAGTAATTAACTCTGATAACACAAACTAAACGTAGTTGAGTTGTTATCAACTTGAGTTTGGTTTGAGAGGTGAAATCCGTAAATGGAGGTCAAAGTTCGTTTAACTTTATGTGCTTTAACTAAGCATTTATTGCGAAATATCGTAGCTTAAAATCTATATCCATATAAAGGATGTAAATTGTAGTTCAAAAAAAATTAAACCTTTTTAATTTTAACTTAAGATATGTATAAAACAATTGCGAAGTTTGCCGAAACCTTTTCGTGATATACGGCTTAAAAAACCTCGTTACAAAACATCTTTCTATATAAAATATTCCGAATTTTTTCTTCTTCTGGTCAATTTAGGTTGACATTAGGCACACTTAAGAATAAATAATAATTATACTGACCACACATACGAAATATAGGAGTAGATATATCAATATTTGTAATATAATAAATCGAAGTCCCTAAAAATAGAATTCAATATGAGGATAAACAGTTTTATTTAAACAAAAATCTTATTTCCCAAGTGATAATGTTATTTCATTCTGTTTGACACCCAAAATTAAATTTGTCGTTGAGGATATTTGATTTTCGATTAGCGGGATGAATTCAATATATTTATATATATATCAAACCTTCTTATTAATTGTATGTTTTTAGGAATTAAAAACGTTTAAGAGATCTAATTTTTTTATATAAAATATCTAAACAAATTACAAGCAATTTTTTTAATACAATTGATTAACATTCAGAATTTTATTTCAATAACAAAAGCTGGATTTAAATGTTGTCGCTGACATGCTTAAACATTCAAAGGATTGAAAAAGTCCTTATGTTCATTATCAATATTTATTAGATCTAAATTGACTTTGAAATGAGGTCTCCTCGGCGATTAACCTGCCATCTTTTGACACATGAATAATATAATTTCGCAAGCATGTTATATTACTTTTGACGAATACATTTGCTTCTATATTATGAAATCAGATTTATTCTGAGTAATCACACACAATCATTATAACAGTTCTGACAAATAACTTGTTAATTATATCATCAATTTATATTAAGGTTTTTCGAGATGTCTAAATGTTTTTGCAGAAACCCACCTATATATTTTGTAATAGTGATGTGACAAGCTAATAATTAAAACAAACCTTGAAGCGAACCAGACTCTAGTTATAATTCAAAAACCGTATATTTTTGTTACGTTGACTATTGACAAATATGACGTAAGTGCCGTTTGCCTCATAAAACAGTTAGACACATCTCTATGAATGCAAATCGAGTGTCACATTTTCCAAAATTAGATAATAGATGGTGCATAGAATTATTTTAGCGAAACTTAAATAATATTGATAATTGAACAAACAAGTTTACTGAAAAATCTTTGTTTATGTGGAGATTTATAAAGAAAAAAAAGAAATGAATATGTACAGAAGTCATATAAAAATTGTTGCACATACTGAAGAGAAAAATATGATTCAACTAGAAATATTTCAACCCACTAGTTGTTCGTTGAAAACAATTTTATTTTATGACATATTTTATTATTAGTCTTGCTATTTCCTACATTTCTATTTATAAAATCGCATATAAAAAGCATATATAATGATTTTAAACCGTCAGTTTTTATTTTATGTACAATTTTATCCTTATATTAAATAATTTTTCCTTCTTCGGAATAATAAAAGCCTGTTTCCAACGCTCCATAAATATCATTAAGCTTGTTACCAAGATTTATTGGTATTGTCTAAAGTTATTATCACCATTTTATACTTTATTAAGTTACAGTTATTTACAAAATTAATATTTTTTTTCATATAATTGAAATATATTCAACATGTTAAATAAACGTCTTGTTAATGATAAATTAAATCCATGAAAGTCAAATTCTTTCCTGACATATCTCAAGTAGAATTTCATTAAGTCGCTTCCCGGAACGTTCTCAGGTAACTTTATACCTGTTCTCGAGATGAAATGAATTAAAATTTACAGGGAAGTAAATTTTTAGCTCACTTTCCCCGCTCTTTAATTGTTTCCATTACCAAATGATACATTGTAATGCTGATGGATAAAACAGTTCAGCGTCTTGGTGAAGTAGATATAAAACACGTTTTCTTCAAAGCTATTAGTCTGAGTCTTGTCTAGAAAGTTTAATAACGACATGGCTGATACTAAAAGCTCACTCATATTTCTTATTTTTAAATATAACACTATGTTATAAGAATGAAGTTTATCGGACATCTTAAGACGGGTCAGAAAAGTAATAACATAATTTGAACTTCAAAACCATACCAAGTTATCTTGAGGGATTAAGTTACTCTCGATAATATTGAGGATTCAAGTTGAGGACAAGTTAAATAACTTGAAACTCAATGTAAGATTAGATGACTACGTTTATCACTTGATCAACATCTCTTTGAAATTTTATGTAACAATAAATTGCGTTTTAAATTGGAGGACTGCGAAGAATTTTGAATATATTTATATAAAAATAAATAACATGTTAAAATGTTTGAAAATTCTGTGTTTATTACATTTATTAATTAATTTAATTGACTTATTCTTTTCTTCCTAAGTTAATTAAATTAGCTAATTTTTTTCCTTATTCTCCCTCAAGATAAACTCGGCATACTTAAAAAAATTGATATTAATTGGTTTTAATATATCACAAAATTAACACCAATGAAGACATTAAAGGAAGAGACATTTAAATCACTTATAATAATTTTTGTAATTAATTATTTCAAATTAGGTACATAAATCATGGAGGCTTCAATTTTTCTTGTGAATGATAACAAAAAATGATTCCCAGCGGTATTAAAGAGCTCCATACACTCAGTATAACATGTCAACAGTGGAAAAACAGTTTCCTAGTCAGTTTAAGGCATTGATCGACTTACATCATCAGCTAATTGCAGCTTTCTCTTATTGCAACATTTTTTTTTCTTGAGGACGATCTCATGATGCAATCTCCAGCGTGAGAAACATGTTTGTAGAGATGGTACAGTCTCATTTCATGTATAAAATTAATATGATTTATTTAATATGCTTCATTCATATTTATACATTTAAGATTACAGATTTAGCATAAGAACAGATATATATTCGTTAAAATTAAATTATAAAGTTCTTATTTTTAATAACCACTAAAATATTATTCCGAGATCATTGGTATAATTAAAAGCTACTAGCATATATTTTAGATTTTTTCTAAAATCAGGACAAATATTCAATCTATGCTAATAAATTAATTATTTTACAATACATAATATATATAATATAAATTTAAATTTAGGTCATTTTAATATAAGTTGACATACGAACTCAATATCAGTCAATAAGTAATTCGAGTTACATAACGTTCAATAAGCCTGAGGCTGTTTTAGCTGGGGCAGCGTCTGACCTCAGCGAACAACATCACATACATTATTCAACTGTTTTTGAGGGATACGAAGAAATATACCAATAAATATTAATAAGCAAATATATATCACATATAAATGAGGTGAAATTCAAATAAATATATTTAAATTTATTGATTGAGACTTATATAGTAATATTTAGAACAGATTTCATATAATAGACTCATTTTTCGTATGTTTCACTATTGAATTTAAAAAATTTATTCAACTATTACACATATATGTATGTACGTACTATGGAGTATGTACAAAGAGCAGAAATATTAAATTCTACCTATAATTTCAAATGAAAACAAACATATTTTTTCACATATTTAACAGCAAAATTATAGGTAAAATGTAAGAACATTTCATAGTAGTCATAGTTTAGTACCGGTTCTAATATGTTGATCTGATTCTGTTGAAATGTGTGTGAATACCGATTATATGATCTAATAGCCCTAGGCAAAGTTAACAAGTCATTTAGTACGTAATAATCTAAATGGAAAACTATTAGATTTATACTTGTAAGATATTGAACAGGACACAAAAATATGCTTAAAATGTACTACAAATAATACTAATACGCATAATTCTAATAACCGTCCCTAATCATTCATAATTCCTTCCAACATCATTCACTCATACAATGTTTTCTTCATATATATTTTTTTGCTTCCTTGATCCAGGCGTTTATGATAAATGACTGACAAACGTCGAAGATATTAAAATAAGGGTGCTGTTAGCCAGAATCTATTTCATGAAAAAACTAAAAATAACCGATATTAAAGCTCTTATTACAGTAAAGAATTATTATAATATAACATTTCTATCTATCTATCTATCTATATATAACATCTATTTTTAAATTATCAACAATCTTTTAGTGTCCATAAACAAAAGTAAATCTATTTTTGTTAAATTGTTTCGAAGTACAAAGTTTGTATTGAATGGGAATAACAAATGTGTTCCAAAAAATCTAAATATTGTCAGAAATAGCATGAATGTAAGCAAAATTAATTATTTAGAACGCAAATTATATATTTAAACATGGTCAAAAACTTAAATACTTATTTTCATTTACAGATACCAACGCCAAACACATCACATTCAAAATGACAACGAAACAATGTCGAGCGATTTTAATCGGTAAGTGAAAATTAAAATGTTATATATAAAAACATAAATATCAAATATTTAATATTTAATTGTTAATATCATATAGAGTTAAGATTAAAATACAGAAAATGTTTAAGTGTTACAATCTCAAGATCTCATTCTGTTTGTGTTGTGAATATTAAGTTATTGGTATTTATTGAAGAGCTATCCGATCGTAATCCTCACAGCGAAACGGGTGAAATGTAATTTGAAATTCGGATATTGCTTTATCTATAGCTTGTTGTTTATAAATATAAAATTCTAAGTTCGTCCCACAGCTCATATTATTAAAGTTATAACAGGCTATAAACTAGTAGGTGCAGTACTTAAAAATGTAATAAAATCCAATGGGCACTATCATTATAACATACGTAATCCCCCATAAAGGCCATAAGAAACCCATCATGGCGTCAGAGCCCAGTTAAAACATTGAGTCACTTGCTATTTCGTTTAATTGCGTTTGCGGAGCAATCGCCTAAATTGATCTGTGATTAATGGACACTGTGAATGTTTTCATTTGATTAATTAGTACTGTAAATATGTCATTTTTGACTATAATTGTCTCTTATGGAATAATATAAACAATACATATATATCGTATATTATATATAAATACTTTGGAAACTGAGTAACAAATTTTTCTCATATCTATCGCGTGCAACTCTCACTGATTCTGAAATGGTATTATTAACGCACTCACTCTACCATACAGGTGCAAAAAAATGACACTCAACTATCATTACATAAGAATTTTTTTCGCAACTTTCTTGATATCCAAAGTTATTTCATTATGATTCTTAAAAGCATTGCAATTATCACATTCTAGTATATTTCAGTTCTTTTTGTCAATTACTGCATACATTTCTTCATTTAATATCTCATCAAATTTTAATACAGTCGCACAAATAATTAATTAATCTAGACTATCTATGCTTGCATATGCATATTTCGTAATGAAATAGGGTCATCTTGAAATTGGGTTCACTCTGAAAGCATTGTCAAAGAGCAGGGCAAATATTACTTAATCGATCAATGGGAAGTAATCAAGTTAATGGCCGTTTTGTTGATTAAAGCCTTCGAAGCCTACTACTTGATTTTCTTTTCCATACTTTTTATATTTAGCTTAATCACATCCGCACTTAATTTCACTTAGGTCACTAAATGTAGAATTAATTAGAGATTCACCTAAACTTCTAATAATACTACAACAATGTTTTGTATCAGAATAAAAATACATATGTCCTATAATTTTTAGGCATAGCTATTTTACATAGTTCAAAATATATAAACATTTTAGAGACAATTTAAATTTAAAATCTAATGTACATTTATTGCCCGATTCAGAAAAGATACAAATAATATTTTTCTATACTGTCCCACCTGTATATCTTTCGTAAGTATGTACGTACATGTGAATTTTATATATCTTTTCTATTATCTTTATATCTGGTGGGTAACGGGATTCATCCTTGCGTTCCTAATTACAAACATTTTATTGTATTACAACATAAGCTTTGTTTGAACAATGCCTGTGGGCTGATTCACAGCCTTGGCTGCGACATGAGAATGCACAATTAAATTCTATTTGTATTATTACATGTTACTATTTTTGTATAATTAACTACCGTCGAACAAATTATTAATAATAATCACTTTTTTTCACCACAACTCTGATTAGAAGATATTGTGAAAGTTTGGCGAAGACTGTATTTGTTATATATGTTGTAAAATTACGTCATAAAATACAAAAACATATTATTCTATCATATTGTAACATTAGAGCGCTGTATTATATACAAATATATATCTTTTCTATGATATAATTACAGACATGCATTTATTTAAATATATTTGCAAAAATACCTGACTCTAAATACTACTCAATTTTATATTCTACAAATATAATCCATAGTATATAAAGTTGTTGTTTTGAACAAATATCCAATATTAATCTTTAATTCTGACTTATATAAAAGAGTAAAAGAAAATTTAAGTAACACTTTAAGTCAAGTGTATCAAATTAATTATAAGACTTAGATGAGATTATAAAACCACGCCCAAAAAAAAAAATTCTCAGATTGCATGGTTTTTTAACTTTTTCAATTCAGTGCATTAAAATCTATTTGGACTATAACTAAAATTTGCTGTTAAAAATAGGAAATATACAGCAAGCTTAGTATCAAACTACATATAATGTGTTTATTATTCTGCATATAAAAGTAGAGAAAACGTAATACATACAAATATTTAGCTAATTAATACATGCCCACTAAAAAGATGAAGACTATGCACAATACCTATTAAATCACTAATCTAAACACACAAATACTTCGGAGCGCTTGCAATAATTAATGAGAATATATATCCTATTCAGTGAGCCGATACGAACCAAGCCGTGCTAGGACAATAGCTTTTCATTTTGTTCCCACTCCACAGCCGGCCTTAATACGACATGCGATAGACGGGTGAAAAAATTAAATACGATACAATAACTTTAACTTTAAAAATATTTATCGTAAGTTAAAGAGAATTGAATTAATAAATTTATTTAGAGTAAAAAAATAATAATTATACAATTTTCAGTTAAAAGGTAAAGTAAATCTATTTGTGTGATCTCTGGATGTTTTTAAATTTCAAAATTTTAATTTAAATTTAAACGACGGTATAATATCTTAATCTTAAAATAAAACCTAAAATAAAAGTCTACCAAACAACAATACAGGAACTGCCTCCAATACAATTACGGAAAAATATTTAAATTATACAAAGAGATTGAGAGGTTCCTACTTAAGAATTATTTCAGGATGCTTGTTAGGAAAGGCTTCAAAAAAATATTATGTGGAAGCGTAAATTTCATAAGGAAAATGAAGTTGTCATTAAACAGAAAACAATAACATCTGAAATGATAACCATATTTTATAATAACAATATACAATATAAAACTTTTATTTTTTCTGGTATTTCGCTTTTAATGTCTCTTTACCCTAAAATTACCAAGCTACGAACAAAATTTTTCCCATTTATAATATTAGAAGAAAGAATGTTTTAGTGTTTTATTTTTCTCGTATATTCTATAGTAAAAATCTTAATATAATTTTTAGACTAATTTAGTGGCAAGCCACTTCAAGGGGGAATTCTAGACCGATAACTCAACACTTCTTCTAATCCACCTATTTTAGATTATAACTTGACTCATAAAATATGTTTAAATGGCTATATGTGTATATATAATTCATACACCATATTCTTTACTGTACACTAGAATATATGCTATGTAAAAGAGAGTTTGTCTTATATACTTTCACTTAAGTATAAACTCTCCACTCGTCATGACATTATACAAACATTCTCACGGGAATTACAGACACCATAGGTATAATTTTGTACAAAAGAACACTCTTTGAAATTATATAAAAAATAACGGTTTATTGAAAGGAAATCATAAATATTCTTATGAAAAATATATAACTAATATTCCGTCTAACAATTCCAAATTCTTATATCCAGAATTCTAATGACATAGAAACCAAAAAATAATAAAATACATATCTTGGTAATATTTTACAGCTTGAAAAGCAGCGTTAGTTTCTAACCTTATCATTCATAAACTATAGTATATAACCTTCAGTAAAAGAATTAAAATTTCATCTTTTAATGATAAAATTAAATACTTCACGAAGGTTTAGTGCTCACTGAAATATGGGAAAGGCCACTGTTGTTTTTTTATCTTTATTTTAAAATAACTGTACATGTGTTGTGACTATTTACAAGCTTTCTACTTCTACTGTTGTAAACGTCTAGATAATTTATAGACGTCATACATCATTTTAAACTACGAAGACATTTACAACTCATGTTATATAATATAAGTTATTAAACTTCTATATTCTATTATGAGAATCTTTTATATATTTTACAATAATATTCAATTATTTTTTGTTTAACCCAAACTAAAAAGTACTTTAACAATCTAGAAAACTATTTGTTATTTTCTTTAAAATAATATATTTGAATATAAGTTTTATATAAATATATACAAGAAATATTTTATATAAAAATAAGATAAATTAAATAGTTGTATAAAAACAAAAATTATACATACATCTATACTAATATTATAAAGCTGAAGAGTTTGTTTGTTTGAAAGCGCTAATCTCCAAAACTACTGGTTCGAATTAAATAATTCTTTTTGTGTTGGATAGTCCAGTTATCGAGGAAGGCTTTAGGGTATATAACATCACGCTACTATCAATAAGAGCAAAGATATGGTGGTAAATGTGTAAAAAACGGGAGAAATTATTTCATCTTTGAAGCCTTCAGTTGCGTGCGCCGGGAAAACGGTTCAAGATACACAAAAAATATGTATTAAAGAATAATATCTCTTTCAATGATCTAAAAAACACTCCGCGACAGTATATATCTATCTTTTAAGATTAACTCACAAAAACCGTTTTTATGGTACCTAATTTGGTCGAAATAATTTGTTTAAGTTGTATCAACATAATAATATTAATTTTTATTCAAATAAACAAATAAATATGTTGTTAGTTAAGAGTACTTCATTGTAAATAAAAAAACATAGGTTTTATCCTGAAAATTCTACGGGAACTCGACCATTCCGAAAACCCCACAAGAACGGGAACTATGTGGGAAGAACCAAAAATCTGCCGTAAGTCACTATTCCACGCGGACGGAGTCGCGGCAAAAGCTAGTATATATATAATAAAAATTGTCCAGATATTTGTAAGATTTTTATCAACCAAACCTGAAAATTTTATGTATAGATGATTAATTCTAATAAAAAAATATATGATTTACACTAATGAGTTTTCTCCGTCTTATGTACATATATGCCGGTACCAGCATAGGTAGCGAAGTCAAAGGGAATTCATGTTTGAAAATTAAAGTTCTAGCGGTTACTACTGATATATTATTCAAACCCTTTCTTTGTACCCAAATTAGAATTCAAAACAGTAGATTTTATTAAGGTTTAGAAAGTCTTTTTATGTAACCTCCTTATATATTCGATATTTATTTTTATTGTGCAACATTGACGGTTCGAGTTTGCTAGTCTTAGATACATGGAAATTTCCATTAACGAGTTACGCTAATCACTTACAGTCCTTCTGCTTAATTTGGCTGGCATTTTGTAAATATTCCATAACCAATTTGGTTTCACAAATTGTTTCTCCATGTTACAAGTGAGTTTTCTGGTTAAAAACATTTGAATATTTTATGTAAAGTTCTCGGTAGTTGGAAAACAATGATATCCAAGACTTTCGAGTGAATTCATTTAAATGAAACTAAAGTTTTCGAATTACTACAGTGTTTTTTATAAACACTTCCATCTAGTCTATAATCTCGTAATTACGGTTGCTGCAAAGGAACCGAAAATCAGGATTTTGTAGTTATAATATAATAAAGGTAAAGTGATATACTAAGAACTTAGTCTCATATGTATATCATACAACATACCTTCAATAGCTGCTTAAACATAATTATTTTCCTTGATTAATTGAATAGCAATCTGTAATATTTTCTTTAAGAGGAAAATATTGCAAGTTATATGCCATACAGGTGAAATTATCTTGAAAGTAGTCCATTCTGTAAGCGGCATACAAAACTGAACAATGCGGACCCGTATCAGAAATTCTTAACCCGTCACGCTACTTCCTGAGTATAACCCCTGTCACCCAAATTGACTCGATCCTACAAAACTGTTTCTGCTTTATACTAGATATTCACGTCACCCTTGAGATAATTATACGTTGCCACTAGTCCCTTTAAAAACCCTTCTCAATTACTTTACTTCAAATCCCCATTAAAAATAGACTGTTTCCTATAGTAATGACTTCAATTCCAAATTGAAAAATGTACTAGAATAATTTTGGTTCTGTATCTCGTTTTATTTCCTAAAAACTTAGCAGTGATAAAGACTGACTAAAGAACTATAGTCCAGGATACATGGCTGTTTTTTGCACTTGATTACTAACAAGCAAATTTTCCGTGAGTAGCTTCGTTTCATTGAGACGCCCAACTTTTTTCTTTGCGATATTTCTTGATTATATTATAACTACTATTGTTACATATCGTTATCAAATAAATTGATTTCAAAGTCAAATTTTAACTCTATCGAAATGTTATTCAGGTATCTGCTAATGGTTTTATATACATATTATTGCATTACTCAAATATTGTGATGCCTCAGAATAATCGATGTTATTGTTTCATAAGATTTAAAGTAATATTTTATTAACTAGCACATCATTTTTATTGCACAAAAACGTAAGTAATAACAGCAAATCTAGATTTCTAATTTTAATTATCTATTTTTATTTAAATGTATAAATTTAATTGGATTCTTAGCAAACATATCTTACAAAATCTTCATTAATTTTGTAACACCATTTTTGTAAGTCCCGAATAGATACTTGCTTAATATTAAACCTGACATTTTTAATCTTGTACAAGAACACTAGTATCGTAAATCATTATTTATTTATATTCCCTGGTGCAGTATTCTATCATGTGATTTAATTCTATCATCAGTAATTTATTTACTAAGTAGCGGTCTATTTGAAATATCTGACCTTTCACGAAATGTTTAAGCCACTTACGTTTTTATGTTATTGATAGTTAAATTAAGTGATATTATTGAAAGTATTTGAAGAATATAGTTATTGATAAATTATAATGTCTTTAACTAATACTTATAGCTAATAAATTGATTTTATACTGCTCATTCAAGAGACATAAATGACTAAGTTACTGTTATTATTAACAATAATTAATTAGAAATAATGTTACTTTTTTTTCTAAACTTTAAACATTACTTTTAAATTTTTCATAAGTGAAATGTAATTTTTAATATTCCCTATAAGACAATATAAAAGTATCGAGATATAAATCATGGAAACCGTTGTTTTACTGATAGGATGTTAGTACTCTCAGAATTATGTTGCGTTGCGTAAATCGGAAGAGCTTTCTCCTGTGTCGGCGCACCCCGCACATAATATGTTAAACAATTCGGTTATGACTATATATAAACACGTTCTGCAACGGTTGCATTGACAGCGGTTTACAGAATGCCATGCTTACATAAAAGTTTATCTTACTTAAATATTTCCATAAAGTAACTGGTTATAATTGTACTCGCGATTGTTTTCGAAGCTGTGTTTTATTTAAAGTCAATAGATATCAATTTACGCTGGTAAAATAATTGAACTTTCTTTTTCTGTTATTTTCCGAACGTAAAACAAATATATGAGGATATCCGCGTTCGAAGTAACGCTTTTACAAATCTAAAATGTCGTGTTAGAGTATAAATTTCATCACTCGCATGATGTGTGTGAAATAAATTTCTCACCGACGAGACATATAATTGCTTTCAAAGTTCGTTGATCTTTGCGATGTGCAATATATGATGTTGTTTACGATATATACATTCTACTACATACTAAGCATATGAATAACCTTATCAAGCGTTTACGTAGTTGAACTCAATATAGACAGTTCTTAGTTAATAATTTCTAAGTATTACTATTTTTGACCGTATTATAAGGGACTATTTATTCAGAAAATTTTTGCAGGCCATGTTTTGTATTACGCACAAAGTATTCTTTACCACTGCAATAAATCACCAACTTATCTGTTTGGATATATTACCAGATATTAAGCAATATACCTATTATATATTTATCTATTTAGACTGACCAACTTGTTCAATAGTATGAAATGTTTCTCATCTCCCCCAAATACCTTTTTAATGACTGTAACTTAGTAATTTTTCTTTATGTTTCAGCTCTGATCTCAAGCTTAGCGTTTGCGTCTTGCGGTCAAGTAGACGATCCATGCAAAACGAAATCGAGAGTGGTCGCTGATGATAAATACTGTGATAAATATTGGGAATGTGATAACGGGCAATCGGTCCAATACGACTGCCCCAACGGTCTGGTCTTCGCTGGCAAGCATCGCGGAGTCACAGATGGATGTGATTATCCATGGAGATCGAACTACTGCGAATATCCAAAAGTTCAAATCAGTAAGTATCATTTGGTAGTTCATTACTAAAAACAGTTTAGCTCATATAACTTCTTGTTATTTTTTAAGTTACAAAATTCTCTAAGTCCTTCTAAGGCTAAATAAAAGGCTTTACGTCTCTATATCAACCTATTTCTCACTAGACCCTCCCATCGGTACGGAACACTGTGACTGGTTGTACGGTATCTTCGGCCATGAGACTTCCTGCACCAGATACTGGACCTGCTGGAACGGAACAGCCACCGAACAACTGTGCATCGGTGGTCTTCTGTACAATGAGAACGCACACTCATGCGACTGGCCAGAAAATGTAGACGGATGTCAGAAGCACCGTGAGTAGCACTTAATGATATTACAATATTTTAAAATTTAAACAAACAATAAAGTAAACTCCACAAATACGATGACTATATAAAATACTGTATTCATAAGTAGACACTTATAAAACCGTCTAATAATATTCATAAATATTATAAATTATTGAATAATAAAAAATAAATATAGACTTATAAAAGCACTTAATCAAATTAAATTTCCGGTACTAAACTTTGACATTTGTCTGTTGACAGACTTGTTATTTTAATGGAATTACTTATGGCCTATCAAACAATACAAACAATGTTAACTCTCTAGAGATACGCTTCCATCTACGTAAATTAATCAGAAAATTTTGGTCATAATATTGCTCGTAAATTCCTCAAAAGGATTGCAAACGTCACCCTTTCCATTACACTAATAATGTTCCCTTTATGGGTCAAACGCAATTGCCCATTTCCATAATCAATCCACAGAATGCCATTTCTATGGCCTTTCACCGTAATAAAGTAAAATAACCCGGAAAACAACGCGGAAACTATTACATTACATAATGGATTTTGTTAAATTATTACAAGAAAATACATTACATTCTTCATACATAATAACGTGTTGAACTGTTCATAAATCAATTTTCAATGAAAGACTTCAGTGACTTATGTATTAAAGTCAATTTTTATGTATTATTAAAAGATATAAATAGTGTTTATAAAAAACGTTGACAATAAAAGAATTTGTATCGTTCAGTTTATGTATCAACTTGATTTGTTTCATTATAAGCAATGAACAGACAGCAATGAAATCAGATTGTATGCTCTGATAATAACCTAATTGAAATGTAAAGATATCTTGCTATTATTCAGTTACAAAGAGTTGTTTAAATGTGTTTAATCAATGCTGATTTACATTTCATACTTTTATTCAATACATAAATATTTAAAACGTATTTACAAAATCCGTTTCGGGTTTTAATTTGTGCGTTTTATTACAATTGCAAATAAAATTATCATCAAAACTACCAAACATTAAAATATTCTAAATAAAAACAAATTTTATAAAAGAAACGGACGCTATTTATACCAAAGTATCAATCATTACTGACTTTATTTACCTTTATATACAGATGTTAAATTACAGACTTCTGAAAAAAAAACAGTTGACAAAATTTGAAACTTCTAATAATTTAGAAGTTGAGGACTCTATTTGGCAAGTTCTTCTAATTTAACAGCAATCGAAGCAAAGTTTGAAAAAACTCGTATCTTTACAGCCCTCTGTAATGAGGATCCCAACGGCAACGTCCCTCTTGGCAAGTCATGCAATAGATACTGGCAATGTCAGGGAGGCTACCCTCGTCTTCAACGCTGCCCTGCCATGCTGGTGTTCGACAGACGCTCCCTGAGATGTGTGGTACCACCGACTGAGGAGTGTGATGTGCCCACCACCACACCCCCACCAATAGAAGAAGAACCCCAACCAAGACATGTAAGGAAATATTTTCATTAAAAACCACTCTCACAATAGTTCGTATCTACTCTAACTTTCTTGAGCCTTGTGACAGTTCATATTATATTTTGCTGTCAAAATGTTTCTAGTTTTTCAGCATTTTAATATAATATGAGATGCTTTTGAAAGCTTTTATAAATATCAAATATTAATTATAGAAACACACTTTTAAGATATCATTCTACACTATTTTAATATTTATAATGATGCTGGTATATAAGTAAAATTTAAAATAATACACCTTCCTTTATATTATCCACCTGGGGAGCGATGAACGGTAATGCAACACGACATCAGAAGCCATTAACATAATTAAAGCTCACGTTCAAAGTTCATCCGAGCGAACAAGTTTGATGATCCCCTTCTATCCTGTTTCGATCCGATATACAACGCTTACGAGACGCCAGAACCCTATTACATACATAGTAACGCTACCTAATAAAACTTCTATAACGAAACTTTTGTATGTAAACATATTTTTCTTCCAGCCCCCACATATCTCCAAGAGACCAAACCAACAGGAATATCAAGAGAACCAAGCTCGTCTCAAACAAAGAAATTAAACATTATAATTTAGAATATTAGTATTTCAAATGGGCATAATTACCAAAATATTACAGTGGTAGAAATAAACAATTATAATAAATATATGATCGAAATATACAATTAAAATATACCTATTTGTAGTTTTCCAGTGGTAAAAAGACTAGAAGAAAAATCTCCTTTATCTTATTTTAACCATTCACTGAAATATCCCACCACTGTCTTTCTTTCATTCGTCTAAGTATAAAGCAATATTTAAACTTCATTGTAATTTTAGTTAAGTGTATTGTAGGTTAAGTAAAAAAAAAACTTAACTCTCAAAGAAATACTCATATAAGTTGACGAGAAAATATTAGCTATGTATTATTTACTTTAAGTTTATATTGTTCTAATTTTAAGTTAATAAATATAATTAAATAAAGTTTGGTCTTTTTATTTCCCTGTTTATTAGTAAAAATTAAGCAGTGATTGCATTTGATGATGACATTTTGTATCACTACTCTAAATTAAAACTTAAGCATTGCCAAAGCCAAAGTAACAAAGTCACAGTTACAGCTACTTCTAAATGGTACAATTCTTTTCATTTAAATCACCCTAAACATTTTTATCAGCCTTTCAGTAACAAGAAATTCGATCAACTAAATTATCGTCTATCTGAACCCAATTAGGGAAAGCGCAGAATCAGAATCTGTGATTTTCTACATTTTCCGCATCTGGAAACGTGTTTTTCTGGGATAAAATGCTCTTGCAAATGTAAATAACATTTAAAGGTGTGTACATATAGTCGACTATAATATAAAACACAAAGATTACAGTTTTCAAGGCTTCAAATTATCTTAATACTATATTGGATAAAATTATATTAAATAGCTAACAAAAAATATATAATACAGTGAAAGGTCAATTTTATTCACCAAAATAATAAGTTTTATCCCAAAAGTACAGTTAATACTTTTTTCCTACGAGATTCTGAGATATAACGATTCAAAAAGTTGTTATCATAATATGTATGAATACGCCATAAATACATATATACAGATATATTTATGGCCATAGCTGGGGATTTATAGCTTCTATAATAAATATCAAGCAACAAACTAGATCTTCCAGATTGGCACTCACTTCTCAAAGTTTATCAAAAATAATTAGCGCGATCAATCTTTAGCCCCATCAGTGCTACAAAAACTGCTAAACAAAATATTTGGGGTGTTTGGGGTGCAGTGCATAATGTAGTGAAAAAAGAAGTCAGGCTGTTTTATTCTCTGCTACGTAAAAAATTTCAAGACTGGTAGTGCTGTAATATTGAATCACCAACAGTTTAGGGTTCCTTTGATTCCGACGCGGTATTATACGATACATTACGATTGATATAATTTACTTACACCCAGAATAAAGATAAAGAAGAAACTGAAGTACGAGAATATTTTTTACTTTGTTCGTTTTTATCTTTTCCTATATTTGAATCCTTTAGTTTTTGCAATAGTTTCAAATTTAAAGAGGGTCACAACTGACCCGTCCGCTAGGTCTACTGGGAAAACCACATTTAAAAAGACCTGTTAAGTACACTGCCTCATAGATATCCTGGAAACGTGTGCATATTATGACAATAACAAACTTTACAACTTTTTATATCGTTATATCTCAAAAACGGTGACTCGTAAAAAAAAGCTTCAATTCATTTTCCAAAATCTAAACACTCTGTTTGGGGTATTTTTATGATAAAACTGATGTTTTGCTCAAAATCGCAAAAAAAAAATTACTTTTTATTTCCAGTGAAATTTTCTCCAGGAACAAAAATGATAGAAAACTGAATTTTTTATTTTACAACAATTTTATTGATTTTCAGCTTGTGAATTTATGAGTCTTTGAATCTATTAAATATATACCTAAGTCTAGATTGAGCGGTCTAGTAATTAACGCGGACCCAGGGTACACAAAATGTAATTAATCAAATAACCATTATTTCGTATGTCAATATTTGACCAACAAACTGTAATTAATATTAATATTGTTTAGTTGAAACTCCTACTATAGTTTTGTAACCGTCGTTGTGTTCTCTGAAGCATAATCACGTTTATTTCGTACATCTGCGAGTGACAGTACTGTTTTAGAATGTCAAGACCAAGTTTACATGATGATTCAGTGGTTACATAAGGTAAGTAAGGTAAATTGTATGAGAATTGTAAAAAAATTAAATATTTATTTTATATTTTAATTACTTTTGCTATAATATTTCCCGGTATTCTATAATAGTCGCAAGACTTTTCACCGTTATATAATTATCTATTTAATTTATTATCATATTTAATTCTAGTGATTGTTATAAATGTACACAAATTCAAAAACCCAGTAATTGAAGTAGCGTAGATTAAACCGAACGTATATTTAAAAAAAATACTTATCGGAATTTGTAAAGCAAGTCATAATTATTATAAAAGTAAATTTATTTATTCTATTCGTTAAAGTTGCTTTTCCTTTTCGTTTATTTATTTCAAGCTTTGAGATTTTATTTACAATTCGTCACCAAAGATTATAACTGAAGTGACTGAACCAAAAAAAAAGCAAAAACCACCTTCATTTTCCTCATGTAACACATGATTTAGATTTTCGTGAAATAAACTTCCGTCAGGTACACTTTTTTTATCCACGTCGCTGCTTACAGTTCCATATTATGCAGTTAGAGTTGCCATCATGTTGAACAGCGAAACTTTTGCAAATTATGAACAAATTGCAACTACAAATTGCAGAGCAAACCAACGCGTGCATTTTGCGAGATTAATTAAATTCATTTAGTTTCAACCACATTTGTAATGAATTTATACAAAATATAAATCTTATCGTTGAAAGAAAAAAGAATTACTCGGGTCAGTGACCAGCAAAAGATCTATCTTACAATTTTTTCAAAAGTTGGAAAAGTTTGCCAAAACATTTGTAATGCTTTTGTCACGAATGTTTGATAAATCTCTGTAATTAATCTTTCTTTTTTTTTGATAATGCGTTAAACCGGAAAGTTTAAAACAGAAATAATGATTCTTCGAAATAAATATAACGATAAATGCTTAATATATTTGGTCTAAAACATCTTTAACATGTCGCCTTAAAAACTTAGCTTTCGTTTCATTATAGACCTCTATACTCGTACATATAATGTGAGGTTCATTTTAATTTTAATGACTTTCCTGATACCATCATCATGCCTATTATATTATAATGAAACTTGACAGTATACTGTCAAGCAAATTATTTACTCCATTGTTTATTATCATATTTTATAATAAAATGAAGTAAAAACTAAAAAGCGGATGCATTAAAATGAACAGTACCTATATGAATCAATATTTTTTCATCTTCGTGAATAATTATTACCTGACTGTTTTTTTTAGGTAATGTTTATTAAATCCTCCTTGTGAACTTTCATCTCGTCTGCCCGTGATCAAGGTTGTTGCAAAGAAACCGAAATATCGGGATTATGTACTTATAGCTCATGCTAATAAATAACCAGGAAAAGCTAATGATTATTCTCTTAAGGTTTTTTACAGTTTAAAAATACTTATACTAATTAAAAACATCAAACTAATATATTATAAATGAGAATGTTTGTATGTTGCGTGTGTGTATTTGTAATTCAATCACTCAACGGCCGTGCATAAATGTAGATATAATTCAAAGATAATAAGTCACTTCAGTCTATATAACCTCATAACATTTGAGCCACTTTAATTCTATTAGACTAAAAACTTGAAAAATCGGATAAGTAGAAAAATTTCTAAATTCTAATTTAGCATTCCCGATCAATGCACTTTGTTGTCTGGTTGAAAGGAAATTTTCATCACCTCATCTTCTTTAAATACGTATGCGTATTTGGTACCCAAATAAACCCATAAATAATAACCATAAATCCTGGACTAGCATTAGTATATTGTAATTTTTATTGGAAGAAAACGGGACAAATTTTTAAGATGATAAAGTTCTAAATTTCATTTCCCATCTTTTACAATGTTACCTTTTGCCCAAGTTTAAGTAAACGTGTTCGGGAGCAGTTTGCATTTCGCGCAAGGTTGAATATTCTTTTAGCCACCTACATTTGTACGTCATTTTCGCACTAAAATCCACGAGATTACCGAGAGGTGTATACAGGAGTTCGCACTATAATAGAAATAACTATATATAGGAATGAGCTATGTCCTTAGAGAATTAAAGGTAAGGGGTACCACCACAGCCACAAAAAAAAATTGTATTTAGTCCATATAATTCGGTATCTCTTATGAATTTTCAGATTTTTTGTCACTTATATCAAGCCAAATATTGCCATTGCGTAATCATTGCGTAATACGAGTACATACCATAACCAGCTCGTTGCATGTGCGCATAATTGAACAAGTAACACTGAAATCGGACATGGTGACTTAGAAAAAACATTTGACGGTATTATTTTTAAATAAACAAAAGTCAGAGTAACAACCTCCAAATATAGCTTCAGTCATAAGTACTACTTCATAGACTTAGTAAGTACTTATCATATTTATTTTTAATGTCTTGTCTAGGTCTGTCTGTCTGTCTGTCTATCGTATGTCTAAGTTCCTTGTGATGTTTTGTTTTTTTGTGTGATATGTTTTTTTTTCTCAAGGAGAAGGGCTTTTTAGTTTTTTGTTCTTATAATTTCATTTATATATTTATTTATTTTTCGTGTGCGCGCATTTTTGTATGTTTACCCAATAGTCAGGGGCCATCTGAAAATCAGAGCTGTGCATTAGCACAGCTTATACTAAGATGAACCCCTTGCTACTACACTGTATTCTTTAAATTCAATTATTTTTTTCTGTATAATCTATGTAATGTATGCGTGTAGCAAATAAATTGTTTAAATGGTTTTAAATGGTAACATGCGCAAGTATACTGTAACGTGAGTGGCCGGCATTAGGAAACATACTACCGGACACGTAGTAGATTGCCAAAGTGACATTTGTCAGTGTCAAATGAGTGTTATAGCCGCTGTCATTAACAGCTGTATGTATAAGCATAAAGATATTTTTATCTTCATGCAAATCAATTATATACATTCTATGTATACGTAGAATTAATTTAGATATTGAATGACATAACAGGCAAACTGATAATATTCATTTATTTGAATGTGTCCATGTTAGACGCCAAATCATACTTAGGTTATGTTTACAATTTATTTGTGATATATTTATCTTACTGTTATAGTTCTTGTTATCATGTTTAGGTGGAGACCTCTTGTAAGTAGCGTAGTGAAACAGATTCATTGTGCTAACAAACAGTCTCCAAGAGTCTTCAGCCGGGAAAGTAGTTGTATACAAAAAATGAGTCACAAGTTTAACTTACCAGCTAGGTATGGAACCGGCGAAAAAAGTGTATGGTATGTAAATTTCCATAACCTTTATTGTTATTGTATTATATTAATCTTAATTACATTTAATTAAATACAATTTACTGTTCTTCTCATATATATGTTGTGTATCAAAAGAAAATTTCATTAAAATTCATCATTTCAACTAATGATATAATAGATGGATATTCTTGTGACGTACAATCAAATATAATGTAAAAGTTGTTTAAATTTTAATCAACATACAATTCAATATAACTTACAACAATTATTAATATCAATTAATGTATATGATTCTCAGGGTTGAATATATACAACTGGCCGCTGAATACAAACCGGCAGTAAACCTTGGACAAGGCTTCCCAGATTACCATGCCCCTGAACATGTCACGAAAGCACTTTCTGAAATCACTACTGGAGAAAATCCTTTATTCAATCAATATACAAGAGGATTTGTAAGTTAAAATGATTTTTTAATGTATTAAAAATGGTTAAATCTTATATTAAACTTATTTAATATATTTAGAATCATAATATTTGAATTTTTCATAGTTTTTTATGTAATTCATTGTTTGTTTGACTTTAAACAAACAGTTAATGTTTAATAATATGTACATAGGAAATGATAAGATAATTTATATGTCTTAGATATAAAATACGATGTTATTATATTATAAAGTCATCATGTTATTTGTTAATTGTTCAACAATTTCTGTTATGTGATCTCAAATTAGACTAAATTATATCACATATCATAAAACTTGCCCCATAGGTCAACATGATAAAGCAATTTCATTCTATCGTACGCAGTTGTTACTTAAAACTTCTTTTACAAATTCATTTAACATTTGTTATGATATTATGAAAGATTTTTGTAAACATCCTTAATATACATATACATTACATATATATTATAAACAATAGGTTATAAACTTGGTCATTGCTTACTTGTCTCATGCATGTGAAAATTATTTTGTACTTTTGGAAATATTTTTGATTCTACTACTGCTTAAGAAAGAAAAATTAAGTCTGAAATATGTATGAAATCAAATAAATATGTACAGGTTACTATTTTTCATTACAGGGTCACCCAAGGTTGGTTCAAAACTTGGCAAAACTCTACTCTCCACTAGTAGGCAAAGAGATAGATCCAAACAATGAAATATTAGTGACAAGTGGTGCTTACGAGGCACTGTTTTCCACTATAATGGGTAAGATATAACATAATTTACTATGAGATTTTGTTTAACTTCACTTAATTATAATCATGAATTGATTGGTGCCAACTGTTGATATGACACTTCTCACATGGAGAAGGTTAGAGTATTAATCACCATGCTTCCTCAAGGTGGATTTGCGATTTCAAACTTATAATTTTAAATTATAAGTCGAGTTTTCCTCCTGATGTTTTCCTTCACCGCATGTCAGTAATGTGTAGGACTCTTGGAAGGAACATATAACTCAGAAATAATCATATTTGTGCTTGCCAGGTTTCGAACCCGCACCTTCATTCATGAGAGGCGGACCTATAACTACTAGGCCACCATGGCTTATAATTCCTTTTACTTTACTTAATAATTTCTCCTTATTTCTTCAGGTCATGTTGATGAGGGTGATGAAGTCATAGTGATTGAACCGTTCTTTGATTGCTACGAATTCATGATTAAGACAGCTGGTGGGATTCCTAGATGTATTGCTTTAAAACCTGTAAGTAGATATTGTATAGGTTAATTTTCTTGTACATAAATATTCACTAGACTTCACCATTAGTAGATGTATCAATTATTTTAATTACAGCATTATCATGAAGTGCAAAGATATGGCAATAGTGTTTAACAAATTCAAGGTTGCCTTTTGCTTTAACTTATTAATGAAGTAAATGTCAGCTTATTTTGCACTAAATGACACAAAAATACAATAAAAATTAAAATAAAATTCGGTTATAGTGCCTATTGTATTGTGTTGTCCTTGAATTAAACTCAAATATCTATTTATGAATCCCTACTTCCCTACTAATATTATAAATGCGAAAGTAACTCGGTCTGTCTGTCTGTCTGTCTGTCAGTGACGCCTAAACCACTGAACTGATTTTAATGAAATTTGGTACAGAGATAGAGTTGACCTTGAGAAAGAACATAGGATAGTTTTTATCCCAGACTTTTGAAAGGTTCTCTTGGAAACGCGATATAACCGAACTTCACGCGGGTGAAGCTGCGGGCGGAAAGCTAGTACATTTACATAAATTAATTTCAGTTTACATTTAAGCTCAATATCACTTTAATTTTAATAAAAAAATTTCAGAAAGCCACTAGCGGTACTATGACATCAGCTGATTGGGTGTTAGATGACGCCGAGTTGGTGTCATTGTTCAATAGCAAAACTAAAATGTTGATCCTGAACACTCCTCACAACCCACTTGGGAAAGTGTTCACCGCTCAGGAGTTGGAGAAAATTGCCAATCTGTGCAAGAAATACAACGTACTTTGCGTCTCTGACGAGGTCTACGAATGGATGGTGTACGAACCGAATAAACATATTAGAATAGGTACTTGCCATATAATAAAGAAACTTAAGATCAAAACTAAAATATCTTAATAATATTTTAATGTATCTATTTGAGCCTTCATTTATATCATTAGTCTCCACCATAGAATGCCTATACATCGTATTACCTCTAAATTGCATTTAACTAATGTATTGCTACAAAAAGTACCAGAAATATGCATATTATTATGGTTACACAGAATTAAGGTTAGTCATCAATATATTTCTCCCTAGCTTCAATGCCGGGTATGTGGGAGCGTACTATAACAATTGGATCAGCGGGTAAGACTTTTTCTGTGACCGGTTGGAAGACAGGTTGGGCGTACGGTCCGGCCAACCTCATGAGGAACTTGCAAGTGGTGCATCAGAACTGCGTGTACACGTGTTGCACTCCTATACAGGTAAGTTGCGACTTCTAAGACCATTTAGTACTTAAATATGTTCAATCATATAGTAACTTGGTCTTCTTTGGTCAATTCTTTGCCATATATTCACTTTTTGTTGCTTTCCGGTTGTTTTGGTCGTGATTTTTTTTAGTACATTTATTTGACCTTGAAAACTATCTGAATTGTAGGGAAAGGTTACTTAGTTCATGAACTTTTTGTGAGTTTGTTTGTCTAAAGTTGTGTAATACCTTATTATCTGGTAATTCTGCGACCATATCATTAACCAATGTTCTTTACCTGTGATCATAACAGGATTTATTTGGTACCTTGTTATGACCTTGAATATTATAAAAATTGGCCGCAATTGTAGGTTTTTTTGTTACTATGTGATCATTGTTTGCCTTTTTATAGGAAGCAGTGGCACGCTCTTTTGAATTTGAACTCTCGAGATACAACTCACCTGAATGTTACTTCTTCTCACTAGCAAGAGAATTAGTTTCAAAACGAGATTACCTCGTTAAAGTATTGAGGGAGAACGGTTTCAACCCAACCGTACCTGATGGAGGATATTTTATTGTTGCTGATTGGACTAAATTAGGTAAGGACCAAGAATTATATATTTATTTACCTAAAACGAATCTTAAAATCTTTTATATATATAAAAATTTCGTGCCACGTGTTTGTCCGCGATGGACTCCTAAACTACTAAACCGATTTTTAATTTGATTTGCATTCCGTGCGCATTTTGATCCAACTTGAAAGATGGGATAGCTTACATCTCAATTTATATTCACAAAATTATTTTATTGCAAATTATTTGTTTATTAAAGAAAATTATTTGTCATTATTACAATTTTGTGTTGAGTCAACAGTGGCGGCTGGTGGGTTATCGAACTGGTGGTGCACTTTAATAAAATATAAAGTTAGAAAATGCAACAAAAAACCAATTGACATAAAATATGTTTATTTTTTAAACATTAAATCAATGCGACGACATTTTTCTGAAGCGAAATGTTCAATCACCTTTTTATTAAAATCGGGTATTGTTTGTATAATTATTTTTTTCAATACTAAGCATAGAAAGTGCATTTAGCAAGTGCATGGTATTTCGGAGAAAAGTTTTGATTCTTTTCAATTCCAATTCGTCATGCTCTCGGTAATCTTCGGCCGCTCGTGCGGCGCTCGAGAACCGACTCATTACTCGGTACATTTCTATGAACTATCTTTTGTTTCACGCGTCAGGCGTATTAATGCGTATCTCATACAAGATGTATTAGGAGTCCTCGTGCACTCGCCGAAGCGCACGAGATATTAGTTTAGTAAAGCGCACAAACTTTTTGACTATAATTAGAAATTTAATTTTTTATATGTTTTTGTATGTTTAGAAAATAAATATTAAAATGGTAATTTAAAAATAAAGATGAAGTATTATTTTGTTGTTTTTAAATCTTTTGAATTGGTGGTTCAGCGCACGAGTGCACTTAAGGTACAGCCGCCGCTGGTGTTGACTGAGTTATTAAGTATTCAATAGATGGCGCTATGTTAAAACTACAAACGTCATATTATATGAGCGACTATTTAAAACAATATAATAGCATAACCCCCACGTGTTTCTGAGGCTAAGGATATTTCTTGATTTTAGGGCGATACGAAGTTCGCCGGGTCATCTAGTATTATATAAGAAATAGTAGCTTTAAGTTTAAATGTACCTTACTTACTTACAGAAAAGAAAATAGATCTACAATCAGAGTCGGATAAATACAAAGACTATCGTTTTACAAAGAAGTTTGCGAAGGAAGCCGGTGTACTCGCGATACCACCGTCAGCCTTCTACTCCGAGGAACACAAACATCTGGGAGAAAACTTCGCACGTTTCTGCTTCATTAAGGTATCTATACAAATATTATCAGTAGGTGTTACGAGTATAAACTAAAGACTCAGTTTTTTTATTTTTGAATTTTTAAAGCAAAATTTATAAAAATATCGATAATGTAGTTTTTTATTATACTAAGAATCGTCATTCGTATAAATTACGCAACACAAAGGCTGCTCCGTATTTACATAAAGATGTGAGTTGTGACTAGCATTGGCGTAACCCTAATAAGAACATTAATCTACTATTAAATAAATCTACTATGAACATTAATCGTTTCCCGATCATAATACCGAATTCCACGGGTACTGTCGCGAACAAAACCATATCAAAACCTTTGGCTACACATATTTTCCCTAATGTTAAGTTAGTTACATTTTGCGTCATACCGAATGACGAACAATATTCAAAATCTTAGAACTATTAATAAATTCGTATTTTCGATCTGGTTTCTCAAATTGTTTGCTTAAGATTTTTTTACTTTTTATTTTACAGAAAGATGAAAACCTTGCTCTGGCTGAAAACCTGATGAAGGAATGGAACGCTAAGAAGTGATGTCGTGGACTTTATTATATAATAATTCTCCACTAATTTGTGTAAAAGACCCATTGGTTTATGTATATTTGTATTATTCGTAGTGAAGAAATATTGAATAAAATTAAGGTTATACTCATTCGATGAGCATTTTTATACGAGGCTTTCGTAAATTCGATAAAATAAAAACTTATAATTGGTGTAAAATATTTTTAATTAAAACCTGATTGTATAAAACGTGAAAAGAGTTGCCAAAATGTTGTTGCACAAATAATCAGAAATGGTTAGTCATTTGTTCAGTCCATAAAGCGTCTAGAAGTCTAGAATTGTTTGAATTCTAGGTAGGTTGTTATTTTCATGAAGTGAAGTCACCACGCAACCACCTCTTCGCATCTCTCGTATCATTGCCATATGTTTTTCCAAATCTGCAAAACAAAAGACATTATTTATAATAATTACATACTTTCAAGAGAAATTTTCATGAAGAACAACTAAACTATTTTTCCTTCCAGAATTAACTATAATTTGAATTCTTAAGAAAGAAGGAAAAACAAGAGACAAACTTATGAGCAACGATATTAGTCTTCAAAAAGAAATAACTAACTAGAAATCTTTAATCTGTATTTAGTCAACATAATACACGATCAACATAGTACATAATAGTAAAACTATGAGGTATTTTTGTGCAATAGAAACTGAATTCATCCAGTAATTTATTCGATACAATATTTCTTAAATATATTTAATGTATATTAATCTATTGTTAAGATCTCATTTACCTGAACACGCATCCCGGCACGTGACCCGCGTAATTGGGCAACATGCCCACGTGTTTGTGATAGATCTCAGTCGGATTTATGGATAGTGGAGGATCCGGTCTGGAATTGGAGGGAAATTACATTTACAGCAGGAAAAATTGTCTATGGCTTCCCTAATATTGGCATTTTGTTTTGAAACCAAATATTCATTATTATTATTGACAATAAATGAAGACAAATTTCAATGACTGACTGGCATTTTTCAATAGAGTAACAATTCTTGCCTGTCGTATCTAAAATTGTGAACCTTAACTGGAAGAGAATAAGGAATTATAGAAATTATGAAACATTTTCAGTTATATACATTTATTTACAACATCTTGACCATATATGGTCCCTCCAAATGATAACCAATCTTAGCATAATAATTGCGTGTCCCAACACCGGATATGACCGCCATCTTGTCTGAACCATGTTCCTCCTTCGCTATCCTCTCAGCTTCCTCCATGAGGAGCATACCGAATCCTTGATGTTGGAATTTTGTTGGATCTCTTGCATTTACCTACAAAAATATTTTTCCTCACATATATAGCCAACTGACAAATAATAAATACATGTCGTTATAAGCTTATGACTAACTATGTAGAATGCCTTAGTACTTATGTAGAAGGTGCATAAATAATTAATATGAATTCGCAAGTCAGAAGTTTGCAAAGTATTCAAATAAAAACTAAATGCCATTGTTAACAGCTTTTCAATACTTTCCAATCCTTACTGCTTACTTCCCTTGTATGTTTAATAAAGTTATGGTAGGGTTAATTAGTTCCTTTATAATGTTCCCATTCAATAGAATATTGTATGGTTTTGAGCCAATACTTTCATAAAAGATTATTTCTGAGACAATTTCAATACTACTGTGTTTGATAATGCAAAATTCTAAATACATGGCATAATTAACTCAACTTACCGGTACAACAGAACCATAAACATGCAATTCTCTGACAATACTACATTGCTTGAAGTTTGAACTAGGTCCTGGCTTCAATTCCGGCCTATAAGTATCTTTAGCACATTTCCTTAGTCTCAATAGACCGACCAGTATATCTTGGTCTGGGTCCTCATAAGACAAAAATGTCTCCCACCCGCCATTTGCTGCATAATCTCGCCTAATTAGTTCCACCTGAAAAACATTGTTTTGGCTGATAAACAGTTAAAGAATCACATAGTAAACAGTAACCATAAAGTTTAGGAAGTTGATACAAAAGTTATATAAAAGTATATTTCTAACAATAAAAAAAATTGAAGTGTCTTCTATATGTATTGAAATAACCACTTTATATTAAAAGAATGAGTATGGTAAGTACCTGTTAAAAATATCTTTATTTGACCATTAGAGCCAACAAGGTTTTGAAACTTTTACTTACACATAGTAACATAATAACGAAAATCTTGCGTTACTTTTGTTTATGAACTTTATTATTAGTGATGAAGTTATATTTAGGGATATAAATAATACATAAACTCATCTTTCCACACGAGCGAAGTCTTGACCATATAGATAGATAAATAAGAATTATGGTCTAAATATTATATCATAATTTACCTCATAAGGCCTAACTTTATTATGTATCTCCTGTATCCCAACTTCCCGAGTACGAACATCCCTACAATCCGTACCAAGATCTGCCATACGAGCTAAAGCCAGCTCTCGAAGGTTGCCATGTTCAACACCAGATGATACCAACGGCATTGGAATGTCTCTTTGAACTCTGAAATAATAGAAAATGCTTTAAATAATTTGATATGAGTTATACAGTTAATTTAACATTTTTATGTTCCAACTTTACAGTAGTAAAGGCTGTACTAACTTTACAGTAGTAAAGGCCAAAAGTTATAGACCACTTGTAAAAAACTCTATCACCAAATAAATATTACATAGTTATTTACTTATGTAGTTGTTCATGTGTGTATGTATGTAGGGAGGTATCTTCAAACATGGTTTCAACCAATTTCAAAATATTGAATAAAATTAACTTTAACACACCTTTGAATGATATTTTAAAAATTTAAAAAGAATGTCCCATAAGTACCAGACAGAAATTTAACCCTTAACAATTTTTTTCAAATCAAACACCAGTAATTGCACTATGAATGCACTTCAAAAAATCAATAAAAATCATTATAATATAAGAAAAGCCTTCTTGACTAAACTCAATTGAAAGCTGATATTGCATTGAAAGAAGCAAAATTTAAAACTTATTCCTCTTTATTTGGGAAACACTTCCAATCATGAATGACCTCGCTAATTTGAGTATTAACACTGATCTAATTCGAGTTTATCAAACCAGACTACCACGATCGCAATATGACCAAATATATTAAGTATTCAAAATAAGTACCTATAGACCCTCGTCCATGGCGGCACCAGAGCCAGTATCTTAGCAATCAAATCAACCAGAGTAGAAGGAGGATAACTCCTATATCTCCCAGTCTTCCACAGTTCATAGAGACCCGTCCCTCTTATAACCAATGTTGGGTAGATCTTCAAGCCGTCAGCTCTGAATGCAGGATTCTCAAAGAACTCCTTAAATTGCTCAACATCTCGCTCAAAATCAACATTGGGAAGATCTGGCATCATATGTGCTACAATCTGTAATAAATATATTAAATAAAGAATTAATACAACATGACAAGTTATTATTACCCCCCCCACTTGGATCTAGACTCTGAAATTCTCCCTTCATAATGAAAATAATCAGCTTGAAACTAGCTTTTTGCTTCAAATTAGAATTTTAGCAATTATTTTTCATAACATCTTTATATATATAATTCTTCTGTGAGTGTGTATGTCACTGAACTTCTCTCAAACGACTGGACCGATTTTGATGAAATTTTTTGTGTCTTCAAGGGGATCTGGGAATGGTTTAAATTCACAATTTTGTCCGCTGGACAATGTTTTTTAATTAGTTTTTAATTTATTAGTAGTCGTTGATACAAACGTTTTTTTTGACATTAGATTTGACAACTAACTAATATGTCAACCATTCTGTCGCACTTCAAAACACGGAGATTTATGGCTTTAATAGGTAAACTCCAAAAATATAAATAAAAAAAACGTTACAGATATTTCTTGATTATAGGGCGATACGAAGTTTGCCGGGTCTTCTAGTATTTATATAAGAGTTTACACATTAACCAATACTAAGAATTTAAATTGTCAAAAAATTGATAGTAAAACTTATGTAAGTGCAGTAACAGTAAACAGTAAAATTGTTAATAAAAAATTATTCCTCCTTAAAAACACTGACAAAACCAATAAAAGTAACAAAATCACACATGCAGTTATTAATATAATGCTATTTGCAGTTTTACTTTTGCTACTTGGTTCTTTTTTGCTATAAAAGAATAATTGAAGATATTATTACAAAAACCAACCTTATAGCCAGCATCCTTGGCTAGATTAAAATTTTCACATACAGCCTTCACTGTATGACCTCTATTTGTATCTCTAGCAATATCTTCATATACCGACTGAACACCAATTTCCAATCTACAACAGAAAACCACCACTAATTACTACAATACAATGGCACAGTAATTTAAAAGGAATTAATGTTCTGTTTCTTCTTGTACCTCGCAATTTCCCAGCTTTAGCAGGGTCTGCCTTAATACATGCTGTGAATAGTTTTGGCTAATTGTTTTTACGACCGGCCGCATGCCTGGCATCAACCCTCTTTGGGAATGCATTAATTAGTGATGTTTAAATACACTTAGAAAGTACATATGACTTGGAGAAATCACATTGGTACTTGCCAGGGCCAGGATCGAGCTCGCGCCCTCATGCATGAGAGACGGGCCTTTTACCCACTAGGCCACCACTGACTAATTAATATTCTGTTTAATACAGCAATATTGTTTTATTTTATGGAAATAGGTTTACCTGGTGCATCCATAGTTCAGCATATCACTCATGTGTCGTTGAAGACAATAGTCTGGCCGTGTCTCAATTGTTATACCAATACATTTTGTTTTAGCCCTTTCAGAATACTTTACGGCCTCAGCTACATTACATGATGTATGACCTGATAGAGCATCATGGAGATTTCTGAAATCCCAATTGTTTTATTTATTATATATGTTATCTTGACTTTATAATAAAAACAACAGCAACCAATACTCCTAGCACTTGGTTAGAGTTCTTAATTAAAATAAGAAATATGTAAATAAGTACATTTCCTAGTTTTGCAATCAAATATAATTTTACCCAAACTTACCTAATAAAATAGTCCCTATAATCTTCAGGAAGACTCATAAAAGTACCTCCCATAACAATAAATTCAACTTTATCAACACTATGGCCGAGTTGCTTTAGCTGTTCAACTCGGTGACGTGTTTGTAAATATGGGTTGTATCTGGCTCTGATAGCTCGCATGGAAGTAGGCTCGTAACCAGTATAACTCTGCGTAGAATATTCAAAATCAGAATCAGGACCTCCAGGGCAGTAGACACAAATGTTACCAGTGAAGTTTATATGCGGACAACGATGAGGTTTGCACATAACAGCTACAACCGCAATTCCTGATGCTGTCCGTATGGGTTTTGCCTTCAACTTCGGTAAAAGGATACTCTTAGCGTCAGCGGGAACAGCAGCTATTATATCGACAAGTCTTGGAGACGTGCCTAGCCCATACTTTGAAGAAATACGTGTTTTCATTTTGTTGAGGTTAACATCTTTTCCTTGACGATGGGCGATTAACAATTCTTGTATTATTTCAGATATAACAATCACCATCTTTTCCTCTTTCGATAGATTCGGCAATATTTTCTTTTTCGTCATCTTGTATTTATGTTAAAAACACGCGTATTTAGATTTTTAGTAATGACAAACGTCACATCAAAATGAGCTTATTTTTAATTTGACATTTAATGTGAATGACGTGAAACGTGATTTCTAAATTCACTAATATCAAAAATATTTATATTAACGTCAAAATACACCAATATTATCGCAAAAAATGAAACAAATATTTTAGGATGCGCTATCACGTTTTTTAATTTTCTTAAACTACATACTCCCAACGTATCAAACATTTTAATGTCATCTGCCCGCGATCAAGGTAGCTGCCAAAACCTCGAGAGTATATAGTTAAAATAATAAAGAATGTGTGATTAATTCGAAAATATTAGTTTTATTATGATACTAACATAAGTCTTAGATATCATTAATATTATTACAACTTAAGAAAACTTACTTCACTACATTAACAGGAGCCCACTCTGTACTTTGCCTTCGTCTGTAGTTGGACGAAAAGTCGCAAAGTGCAGAATTTGTAAGTTTCTTTGAAGACTCCCCAAATCTTTGGAATCCGTATGGCACATGACCGGAATAACCTATTAAAAATACCTTAGCATCAATGTTACATTCGGTACAAATGAACCTAACCCAAATAAAATTAATAAAAATCAAAACCATTATATCAAAACTATATAGGATACCATTATCAAAACATGTGTTTACTTTACAATTTAATAATATAGTTAACAACTTTATATAACTTACGAATTGACTCAGAAGGGTTAAACCCCCAAATTTGATTCCGTACAAATGATTGATGAATTTTACCATAAGACATTGGTTGAAAATTTTAATAAAATAAATAATATTAAAAACGGTTTCCTTGGTAACAAACAAATTTAAGTGTCATTTATAAACATTAAAAAAAAATATTATACAGTTATAGAGAAGATTCAAAAAGGTTGTATAGCAAGTTATTGTAAAGTTTCTTCATCTGAGATCGTTATTTACGAAGAGAATTTTATTTTTACATCCCTACCTTTTACAATATATTTATCTGGATGGCTATTTTCCATAAAGTAAGGGCTGGTGGAATGTGTGGGTGGTGCTAGTTTCGGTTCATCCATTGGCAAGTCCCTTAAAATTCCAGCACATTCTGGCCTCACAACCACTAACGGCAATTTGAATTCGGCTGTAGCAGACTATTGGCAAAGATTTTTAATTTTATCACCGGTATTTGATAAGACAGATTATTTATGGAATATTTTGTAATCAGGATGAACTGTTCAACGAGCATACAATTTTCTCTCAATATTCTTTCGCCTCCATGTAGTTCTCTTATTCTTCTCTCACTAACTTCTTCCGTCTCTTGCAAACACACTTTTATTCTTCTCTCTCAATCTTCATCATCCTTCTTCTTTGAATGATATTCGACTTACGAATCTATCCAAAAGGTCCCATGGTTGTCCTTTTCCGATTTGTAGATCAACCACCCTTTCTAATTGGTTCCTAGCGGCTCTGCTGTTAAGCTGTGATTTTTGAAATTCTGATAGCGCCTCGGTCGCAGAGACAGTGTACCGCTGACCAAAGTGAGCATTCAATCGAGGTAAGAAACCTATCCATTACAAATTATATTATATATACGCTCTATTTATTCCCGAACAACATCAATTTTAAAGCTCCTACATAATTTTAAAAGCAATGTATGTCACGATTCCGAATGCAATACGCATCATGTCCCATTTAAGAAGTCCAAACCATTATTTATCAGCGAAACTAAGTAAACAATGACTATTACTTTTGAATATTTCATGAGACCGGGCATTTGAGACGTGTATAATAATTTTAAATGAGTTCTATCCCGTTAGTATTTCATCTGATCGACCAGGAGCGAAGCGGATAGTAAATTATACCGTACTATTTTCCAAGATAAGTCTGATTCACGTTCGGCATCCAGTTAGGCCTCGGCCTCGAATTTTGCGGGCAGCGGAGCGGCGGCGGCGCCGGCACGGAAACGCATACATTTCTCCAAAATAGCGGGCAGCGGGCACCGCTGTATTCGAGGGTCGGTCCATTTGATTACACGCGTAAGATCCTGCCGCTCCCGCTGCCGCTCCGCTGCCCGCAAAATTCGAGGCCGAGGCCTTACAGATGTATGATCAGTTCACAAACAATGCCGCTTATTATCGAAATTGTATACCTATTTTCATTACGTAATACTGAGATCATACTGACTGTTTATGTACCATTGAAAATACATTTTAGTTTGAGTGATCAATGAATTTTATGTTTTCATAGAATGCAGTGTAATTGGATAATAATGGTCGCAACTAGTTTGCTTTAATTGACCTACTTACAAAATAATACCTAGATTATTATACCTACCTGGTTGTACATATTTTACATAATTTAAAAGCACTTTTTGTAAAGGATAGCATTTCTTTATTTTATTAACTGTAATATAATTTTCAGTGAACTTTGAAATCAATGTACCGTAAAATTTCCTTGTTCTTATCCAAAAACTTATCAAATTGTAATTATTACTAGTTTGCACTTTTTAGTTCATACATTTGCGTTAATATCATCATGTGATAAGTTTTTTAAGAATTAACTTTAATTTGGCTGCGTACAGTTTAATGAAAATTATATGCTTCATTAACAAAATAAATAAATAACAAAATCTTATTGTTGTTTAGTAATTAATCTAACAATAGTTTTGTGTTGATTTATATAGCGATTGTTCTCTTGTAAGAGTATTGTGACGAATTTTCCACATGCTTATGTCATTGTAAAGCTATTTAGAACAAGAGTACAGTGAAATATGAAGTTAAAATAAATATGAAGACCGTTCATAGAAAATTGAAATCAAATATTTAACAGGGAACTTAACAACTTAAAATTATGCGATTAATTGGCCGTGACGTCATAAAAAGACTGGTATTTTAACGAATCTCGTAATAATTAACAACTGATTAAAAATTTTAATTACGTTCAACTGAAAAAGTTATTTTTAAATACAAATTCGAAGTAACGAGTAAGGAAAAACTAGATATATTATAAAACCTGACAATGGTGTGAAAAAAAATGTCACATCGTAATTAACGTTTACCATGATAATGAAATCTACATACAAGTCATTTGTGTCACAAAAACGTGTTGAAATGAATAAGGAGATACAGGATTCCCATAATCTTTATATATAAAAGAAAATCGTGTTAGTTACACAATTTATAACTTAAGAACGGCTATACGGGTTTTACTGCAAATTCGTGGAGAGATAGCATAAACCCAAGAAATGGACATAGGAATTAGTATACTTTTTATCCGATTAAAAAAGAAAAACAAAATAAGTTGAAAATATCCAAAATCTTCATATCGTCTTTAAGGAGGAGTAGAGTTCACCCGGTCAGATATACCTGCATTTCTAATTCTAAAACTAAATCAGACGAAGAAGCGGGCAAATAGTGGCTTAGTAATAGATTAATAAACAATAATCTGTGACATCCTAATTTTAAAAACGTTTACATAACAATTTATTTGAGATTGATTGAAATTTCTTTCGGATGGACAGAACTAAACATTGACAATTAAAGAGAATCTCTGTGATATTAAATTACGTATTTTCGTTATGCAAGACCACTTAGCACTTGGGCGATTTTTATCATGTAGAACGTATATTACAAGTCGACCTCTTTTGATCGATGGCGCCAATAACGTTAAATGGCTTTACGACTTTTAGTTTGACTTTGAAATTAATCGTTTATTCATTGTTATTCTACAACAGAATCGTTCTTGCAAAACAAATTGTTTTATTATTTTTTAATGAGTTATTTAAATACTATTAATATGTCAACAGTATTACATAGTAACTCATTTATAAATATAATGTCAAACTCAATTATGACAGTCTTAGCTATGGCAATGCTGTCGCGTCTAAGAATGACAGTAATGACCTTTAACCTCTTGTGGTATACTAAAATATATTTAATAGGTCACGATAAAACTTCAGGAAACATGGCATTCCTCTGACCGGTCCGCTGTTGACTCATACTGAGTCAGAATAAGCTGTTTACTGTTTAGATTACCTTTGATTGTTTGGGTTGCGTTAGTTTCATAAAACAAGTGTTTACATCGCGTATGATGGAGGCATTGTCCACTTTTGTTTGTATGTATGTTTTTAAAATAAGTTTAAGTATTATTTTCGATTGTTTTTACTAAGTACACTGTAGACGCAAGATTGACATTAGACAATAGTACCGTCTTTTGAAGGTCACCATTATCTTGTTGTCAATTTAATTTTGAATGTCAATTTTACTCGGTTTTTGATATAATGTAAATAAATATTTAGAACAATATATGTATATTAAATTTAAGCATTTTTCTCTAAAAAACAATAGTGTTGAAACGAAGATTTCAATCTGTAGTTATTGTTTTAATTTTATTCTTAATAACTTAACCTATATAAACTTGTAAGAGACAAAGTCGGCAGATATAGCAGTATTTCTAATAGGAACTTCTCGAGTAACAAATATATGTCATGTTATGCAATGAAGTGATACAAACTTATCGTTATCTTCAAGTATTGTGAGATCAGATTATTGCGGTTGCGTGATGTTCTATATAGCGTAGCTTTACTTTTCAACTATTTACTCAAATTCCAAAAAAACAATTTTTAGATAAACAAAAGACCATTTGATGATATTATCTCGAAATATATTAGACCAATACAGATTCAAATGTCTTTCATCTTAAATGCGTATCTAAAATCGTGTTTGTTTTCACTAAAAAAGTTTAAAATTAGAACTACATTGTTATGGATCTTAAGGATATATAATAACTTTTATCTTAATCTATTTTAAAGATTTTAGTAGTCGTCCATAAAGGGAATCTGTCTTAATTTTTATCGCTATTGCAGTTACGATTTATATTAATACTAATAGCTACATATAATCTAAGCATTTTTAAACGTCTTTTTGACAGCTGTCATTGTTGTGACTGTTTGTTTTTTTTAAACATCTACATTCTACACCTGAACCGAACGTTATTCAGCCGTTCAGTGTGTCAGTTAATAAACTGTTACCTTCATATCCTGGTATCATAGGATGCTTGTATACGGGGTCGCCATTGCGGAACCGTGCGTTCACGACATCAATGTCAGTTTGCGGTGGACGGTATATCTGATAAATATGTCACAGATGTCAACAACTAGGTTACTTTTACCCTCACTTAATGGAAAGATACGTCGTGTTTTATATGAAAACTTTTTATAGCAATCAATAACAGTAACTTGCTATTAAGAATTTTATTACTATTATATCAATGTGATCTTAAATATTCATTAAATTTGATAAGATTTTTTTATAGCTTTGTCTTCAAACCAGAAACAAAGGGTGTCTAATTTTAATCACCAATTGAAATGACCAAACGTTGTAATTTTTTTCATTAACAAATACAGATAGTGATGTTTTTAATAGCCTAGACACGAAACTTATGAACTAAGTATAAATTTTGTAAGAATTTAAACCATAAGTACCATTATCCCTAATTTATACAATGTATTATAAAAATAATCTTTTTACTCAAATATACTTGAGATAATCTCTCGTTGTTTCAGACTAGATATTATCATTGAACAGCTTACCTTCACCTTGAATATATCATCTACACTACGATAAATAGCTCGATAATTTTATAAAAATCATTTCTAAGAAAACTATTTATAAACGCTAATAGCAAACTGATTTTTTTGTAATCATTATCAGTATTTTGAAGCATAGATTATAATTTTTTTATACGTACCTGAAAATCGTCAGCAGTCCTATCAGACAGAACTAATCTTTCGCTGTGATTAACGCTGGGATCGAGTAATATTTTGTGTGTTGTCGAGCCATATGTGTCGCCAATACGATACTTGTACTCTGGACAGTGGCCGGTGTATCTGAACATAAAAAAAAGTATTAATATAAAAAAAATATATAAAACTTAAAGGACTATCATTCTGCCGATTAGATATTTTAAGCTATAGTTATTTAATTATACATATATTGTTACTTTAAATGAATACGATTGTATAATCGAGAAGTGAAATCGATTTACGAAACATGTCCATATGGTGGACACTTATATTATCAATGTCTGAAGTAACATCCCAATAAATCACAATCGGCGGCCATTGTCGTGAAGATAAGTCGTGACACTTAAACTAATTTTTTTGACATATTCAGGGGTCATGGTATAATGTTATTGAAAAACAATGTTGGAATAATGAGTCAGATTTTAATTTAAGTCTGGTAAGGTCTTTTTTATTTTTCACGTATCAACACACCTAAAGATAACAGCCGAATGTATTCAATGGACTTTTATTTCAGATTTCCGAACGGATAAAATAATTACAAACCCAGGTATATAATGTGGTTGCGCAATGCTCACTAGATCCAACGCCATGATTTTTCTTGCTTGTTAATGATGAATGTTACTCATAATTTCTTAAAACATTTCAAAGAGTAAATTGATTTTGTTAATTTAGCACGGCTTTCGTTATGGCTTCATTTGTCAAAATCTTGTCAATGTTGAGTTTATTGACAGGAGGTGCTTCAAGTTTTTTTTAATAAAAGACAAAAAAGGTTCTTTGTTTTTCATTAAAATTTTAAATGTAATTTTTATTGATATCTATTAAAGTTTTTGGCGGTAAATCATAAATCACATACAGAATACACATGTGTACCTATAGATACATATATCTGTATGCCTTTTTTTAAAGATACATATATATTTTAATTATTTCCCGAAATACGACATAAACATTTATACTTAAGTATATAACAAACATTTTTATTAGTTTGGTAGAATAATATTTTTCTACATAAATCGACTTTATGTATACCTACTAAATATAAAACATAAATACTTGGATCAAAGATAGTTTATAAAGAATTTAAAAGCAATGTTCTCGTAATATAAAAAAGCTTGTAACTGGTATTATATCGCGAACAATAAATGAAATAATGAGTAAGAGCATAGCTACCTCGGAAATTGCTTTACAGCGAACAAAACCATATATCCACAATTCCAATGCCCGCACAGCTATATTTATAAAGAAAAATTACCCACATAACACTTGCAACGTGTTTTTTTAAAATTAAATTATATGATACAAGAATTTATCCATACAGCCAGACAAGTGTGAATTGGACTCTATCAACCAAGAAGAATAAAATATCTAGTTTTTCTTTGGGATTCCTTTTAATTATTATGTATCTTCTTCTTATAACATATTATTAAGCTTATAGCTTTAACAGAAACGTAGAAAATTTATCACGATTTGTGATAAAGCTTAGCAACAGACAGTCATTCGAAAAGACGGCGAGAAAGAAAAATCTTAATTATAGAGTTACGTTTTATACTTTGTTTACAAAACCCTAAATACTATTGCCTTGGAAATGCCCTTACTTTTAACTTAAATTTGTAAGGTAACGTAATTAGGGGAATAAATGCTAGGTATTGTTCTATTTAGAAATGGGAAGCTCTAATCGAGAAACAATGAAAATCCAATTGTTTTGGATCAAATGACATAGAGCGAAGTAGTGAAATTACAATGTGGTAACAATAAAACATTAAAGAATCCTTGTTGGGGTAACAAGATTATATTAGTCGGGCAGAAATAGAAAGATGGGCCGAATATACCTGCGGCAGTATAGCTATAGAATTTTACCGTCGATACTTAATCACACTTAATATTTACGCTTTGTTTTTTTTAACTACATTATCTGTGTGATAAAATCGTACCACAACGTACTTCCTATATCACTACAAAAGAATCGTTAAAATAATTGAGTTACGAATAATAAAAAACTCAAAACTTACCAATAATTTAAATTGATACTTCTCTTGAAATGTATATTATTTGTACCGTGTAAATACTTTCATTCAAAAAAAGCTTATAAAATTAACATTTCAATTAAATAAATGAAAGAATATATATCTATACAATATATTGTTTTTTTTACCGTACTGCTTCTACATATATGTTCCTAAAACAGCATCAAATATTATTTATTTACGCATTTTAATATTTTTCTTGAGTATATTTTAAGTATTTTTTCATTTTAAGTTTCTAAGTGTAAATAAAACTTGAAAACAAATGCATGACAACTGATTATTCCTGGAATAATAAAGCCATGTTTCGGTTATAAGAACGAATGCATTTCACTAGTTCGCGCTAAAACAACCTCGACTTATGGTTACCTTCGCGTCAACTCGTTCTATGCATTCGTTTGACTTCGGTCCCCAGTCCCCGCTGTCGCTGTCCGCCATATTGGTTGCGACCGCGGTGTTGGGTGGTTGTGTGTATCATTCAAATCTGCGCAGCGTCAAGTGACAGACTGATTACGATGAAATCAAAACTTTAAAAACAACGCTGTAAATTGTGTAAATCAATGTATTATAATATTATGGTGTAGTGAAAGATCGGTATAGTTTTAGGATTTTATGTAATCTCAGCCGATCAAGACTTTGGTCAGTTGAAATGCAGGCATTCCACGGAGTATGTTGAACTTTACTTTTTTTTGTTCGGTGCGGCTTTTCAATCTTTTCGAGTATTTTTTTTTAACTTCTGAGGACTTCTAAGTTTCGCTTAGCGTGGTGTTATAGTTATTGTGTTGTGTCTTCTGAATTAGCAATATTTCTTTGACGCGGATTGCCGAAACATTCAAGGTAAGAGAAACATCGTTATTTATTTTATAACCAAGGATTTTAATAGAATATAATATTTACATTTGATTAATATTTCCTAATTGTGTAAGACAAGTAGCTTGCAAACAAAATAATTTATACGAAATCAACAAATGTAGAGTCGTGCTTAAAATGTAGTAATTTTTAGGAGCTTTTATATTTCTTATAATTATAAAATATTTTGCATACTGTTTTCATAGTCTCTAAATCTTCTAATAATATACAAATGGAATTTATGTATCAATAAAAAGTCTTTAAAAGTTAATAAAGATTTAATTTTAAAATAGTGTTGAGAAGGCCACAAAATTCACTTCAGAGATTGGTCACCAAACACTACTTGTGCAATATCTTTACAATTAATTATTAAAATAAATACTTCTTTCGTATTTCCTTGTATATTTTATATTAATATCTATGTGTTATTTTAAGGAAAACCCAGTATAAAATACCATAGGTATATTAGTAATACACTACTCTTTTCACAATTTCACATTTGTCAAAGAAAAATAAAAGTTTTCCAATATCTATGAATGATTGTCGAAGAGCAATTTTGTGCCCACTGAATCCCTCATATAAAAAAAATCTCGTTTCTTTATCTTCACCCAGAAACAGTTGCAGTATTAAATAAAATATTCCATATAAATACTTTAATATAATAGACAAATTTGTTAGGAAGCGTATATCTCTAGCATATAACAAATTTAACCTTTTCCATTGATATTGAATTAATCGTCGATACTGACAGTGTCTCGTTAACATCCCAATTAGTACTAAGGACGTATAAACAAATTTATGATTATATTTACACTTAATGAACAAAGTAAGTCTCTTGACCTTACTGCTTTACGTCGAAACCCATAAATTTTTTATAGGTAAAATATAAAGGTAAAGACTTTACAGGGAATGTGCATTATGAAAATGCATACATGTATAACACTGCACTGAATTATCACATAGTAAATATTCTAGAAACATGTCCTCAGTATCTTATCTAAGCCGTCTTAACGCGATTATCAGATACAACAAATTCAGCAAAACAATTGTTTCGCACAACGATAACAAGCCAAGTTTAATGTATAGAAATTATATGTTAAAATATTAACTCTTACTCAGACAATTTAATTAATATATCAAAATATATACATATTTCTTTTAGTTATGCGTAACTTACACCGCGGTTTTTAATTCGTACGCCTCCGATTCATATTAAAAATAGAATATGCATGCAAATTAAAATCCAATTAAATGCTAACGGTCAGAACCGAGCTTGTAATCTCCGAGCATAGACAATCTTACGGAATCCGTTTCGTTCGGTTCGGTTCGGCCGGTATCGGTCGGTGTGAACCGGTTCAGATGTTGGCCCGCACGTAAAAAGAAGACCCGCGGCCGTTGGATTTCGAGGTCGCAACCCAATTGGAGAGCAGACACAGGTACGTTTTGTAGTACACTTTCTCCGATGCGTGACGCGCCCAGACTTGGCCATTTCACCGCGAGGCAGGTGTCAAACGTACATTGTATATGTGTACACGCCTTAAAGAATTAAGGATTCCGTCTATACTTCAATATCAATGATAATAGCAAATAAATATATCGGAGCTATTGAAAATTAAACTCTACCAACGACGAAATGCTTAGTTACGCGAGTAGGTAAATAAACAGTAATATTTGTATACGTGTGTACACGCCTTAAAGAATTCGAGATTTCGTCTATACTGCCATATAAGTGATAGTGGCACGTGACCATATAGGAACTATTTAAAATTATAGTCTCTACCATTGACAAAATGATCTGTTATACCTGCCTAAATAAACCATATTCCTTAACGAATAAAATTAAAACAGTATGAAAGTCGGCAAACGGAAATTCATTTAAATATCGAAATATGCTTCTCTAAAACAAGTGAAAAAAATCGCTTGCTTTGGGAGAAACACTCAAATAATTGTTGGCAATCACCGGCAGAGCTAATCGAGACACGTGGTTGAACAGCTAGAGAAAAAATTATAGGGCAGAAGTTTAAAATATAAAAAAATACCTATTAGAGACTTAAATAACATTTTGAGATAAAATTCATTGAATTCAATAAATCTTTTTTTCAGGCATTGTTCGAAATATCGGTTGATAAGCTATTGTTGAATATGATAATTCTTTAATACGTCACTATTTAAAAAAATCACCAATAACTAAGAAAACAATACCCGTAGAATTGTTATTTATAATAATTTATAGCCTTCGATAATTCAAGACGCTTCAGTGAAGACATTTCGACCGTATTCTGTGACTGACTCTGTATAATTACAATGTACATACATACATACATGTAAATGCACGAATCTGTGTTATTTTTCACGCGCCGAGACTTCATTTGTATTTACATATTTCAACATTATTATGAATGGTTTCACGTTTACTAATAATGTATACTTTTAGAAAGCGTTCCAGCGTCTTTGGGAATCAGTACATGAAATCAATATTTTTTGGGTGCCACTAGTTATTTAGCGGATCTACTTTCCATAATTTTATCTGAGAATTTAATTTCATGTTAATTTTTTTGTTTTATTTAGTCGCTATAACACCTGTCTGAAATCGCTTTAGCACTGTGAATCTTATCTCAGTACTAAAATTGTATTGGGTGTTATCCGGGAACAGTAGGGCGCATTGTCTGTTTGAAAGGCTCGTTAAATTTTAAAGCTGTTATCGTTCGAGCTGTAATCTTTTACGGAAACTAAGAACGTGTGATGTTTCTCGATGCCTTATCAGTTAAAAACCGGTTCATTCATAGGATGTTATAAAAGCAAAATATTTTAATAAATTCGTCGTTCTGAAGCCATATAGATAACAAAAAACTGTGAGTGAATGGCTAGGAACGACTACGAATATATAAGCAATACAATTAGCATTTGGCACATATATTTAACCGTTAAACGAAATTTTAATAATATGCATCTGTCACGTGTTCTAATGAACTTTAAACCTATTGCATCCTATGAATGCTTTCGAACCTCGACTGAATGTGGAACGACAAAGAGGTATTATATTACAAACGGAAATATTTCATTCATAATAATGACTGCCATTCCATTATAAAAAGGTCTCAGAGAAATTCATTATGTACAATGTAGCATTTGACTCTATTAATCTATGGTACACAGAAAGAGTATATACCTACATAATAAAAAAATTGTCTGGTATAAAAGCATTAGGGCGTTAAAAAAAAATAACTTGCCATATTTTATAAATAGCTTCACTTAAAATGGGGTTTCCAAATAGCAATAATTTGGGACTTTTGCAAAAAAAACTCCGGGTTTATTTTATTTCAAAACACTTGTGTCCATCTTCTTTTCTAGTTAAAATGTTAATGTATTGAAGGCTAAGAATGGCATTCTTTGTAAATTCACTTCGGAATTTCCTGACCCGTGTGGAAGGAAAATAACCTCATTGCGTTGTTCATTTGTACAGATGTTGTGAGTAGTGACGCGTCAGTCTGACCTTAGAAATAAAAATTTAAGTCTTGAAACACAAGTAGAAATCAACTCCAGAATTAAAAATATCTAATAACTAATAAAATAGAAAAAAATGGGCAAAAACATTCCTCAAAAATAAATTGACGAATTTTTTTTCGTACTTATCAAAATATTTTTTGTTTGTGTTCATTAGATTGAGAATTTTATTATTATTGTATGTAATGTAATTAGCAACACAGAAATTAATTTCAAATTACTTTAACAATCAAATTAAATTGCCATTTATAGTAAATTACAAAACATGATAACATTTATTCATTAATCAGCCATTTTGTATTGGGCAATAGACAGGGACCCAAGGTTAAGTAGCGTTTATTTTACACTAATTTAAATTTTAACTACATATGGCGATTACAAAACATTAATTGTGAGAATTATTTAAGTGCCGAGGAAATATTATAAATAGGCTTAGAAATAGAGATAAGTTCATCACCGTATAACAACGATGAAGAAAGTAAGAAGGAAAGTTTTAGATATTTCAAAAGAAATAACTTTTCTGATTGATTTTTTACACCTTGTGTCCGAAAACCCCACATATCTTAAGGAACCCTATTGTTTTTTCAAAATAAAATTTAGCCTATGTTATTTATATCGCCTCCTGGCTATTTCATCTCATATTAAATTGTGTATATATATAATATATGAGAGAAATATATATAGATATTAAAAAAAAAAAAGCCGCTGAGTTTCTTTCGCCGGTTCTTCTCAGGTCAGGGTATTTTCTTTTCCGAACCGGTGGTAGTCTCAAATGACCATCAATAAGAAAGTGTAATGCTTCTATATTGAATAAAGTTGTTTGAGTTTGAGTTTGAGTATAGATAATGGAGCTTTCAACTGGTGAATGAATTTTTAAAATCGGTTCAGTAGTTTTTGGGCCTTTTCATTACAACCGAACAAACATACAAACAAAGTTTTCCTGTTTATATTATTAGTATAGACGAAAAATCAAATTTATATGACTATATAAACTTAAAATAGTATCTACTTAAATATTTACGTTCTCTTAAAGCGCTTCGCAGCGGAAACGTAGGTGTGAATTTTGTGGCTATAATAAATTACAAATAACCAATGCTCCATTCATATAATCAATGCTAAGTATCAGCTCTGTAACTATTTTAGTACTGACCATAATTGGGGCATTAAAAAACCTTCCCATTCAGGGTCCTAACGATCACGATGTATTGCAACAGCGCTCCACATAGCCAACATTCTTGTATGTCAATCTGTCTTAAACCATTTGTAAATCACGATCGGGTCCCAAAAAATATGCTTAGCGAAACAATTCCTTACAGCTTTGGGGCATAAAGCGACCTTTCACCTGGAAACGGGTCATTAAAAAACCTTTCCAGTCATGGTTTTTATGATCACGATTGCGACAAGCTGCGAGCATAACACATTCCTACCGTCAACGGAAACCTTTGTAAAGGTTTCTTGAAACGTGCTAACATATTTAAATTATAGGCATTTGGGCTTTCATATACTTGGGTCATATGCCATATGGTTGGGTACGGATTCATAGAACCTTGTATATAAAATACATTTTTATTATGCATGAGGTAAGTATTCAAGAAAACCGACCTTCAGGTATAACAAGATAAGCCTAATCCTATTTAATGGGATCTTAAAAAATATCTGCATTGTTTCATAACCATAAAGCCCTATTCACACTATTTATATTATAACGAAAGTACATATATATCTATATACAATACTCACAATTCAGGTTTTGGCACGAAGTTTACGGAATTTAAATTTTTATGTTAGCAACAAAAGTTTTTAAAACATAAAATAATACATATGTATGTATAATATATTTGAATTTTAAATCAATATTTAACGAATTACCTTTAAATAAAAGATATGTGGGCAGATATTATTATTAGTACATATGAGTATCGTTATTATTCCCACGATCGATTCCATTTATTTGTATTTGCAAACAATGCGGCACGCGTATAACGGATACTTGTGTTTAACACAAATATTTAATCAATCCCACGCATTTACGTATGTAGTTACGTAATTCAATCAAAATAACAAAAAAACGAAGTTATGTCTCCATACTTTTATATGAATATCTTTGATAGCACGTTTCCTTTCTTGATATGCTTAAAATATACAAAAAATCATAGATTTTCACATAGGTTTTAGTACACCTTAATTAGTTTGTATGTATTATAAATTTCAATACGATTTATATTAGAGTAAGCGTTAGTATTTTTATAGCGGTCCAAAGTAACCGTGCGTACCATAAACGTTCAGTGTGACCCTTTTGCCTGTTTAGATATCCGGTTGGTTTATACGTTATATAGTTTAAATGCAAAGTAGGAACGGGTATTGAGTGATAATAGCAATCAAAATGTTGATTAATCACTCTTTATGTAGCGCAATATTTGGTATATGGGCAATGGAATTTTCCTCTTGGACGTAGTTGAAAAAATCTAAGGTAATTTCAACCAAGTGTGTTTCAGGTAAAGGTTTCTTTATTTGTTATTGCAACCCCTATTGGGGATTTTGACAAATTACACAATATGCTGGTAAGGGGTCTAAATGTAAGGAATGCTATCAGGTAGGAAGACCCACTTTTATCCTTACATCTCATAGCAAAATGGACTCTAAGAACTAATACAATCTCTATGAAATGCAGGAAATTAAACCGGTTGCTGTATAATTATGTGTTTTCAAAATACCGCTTGTTTCACATCGGGTCGTTTAATATGCGAATATAACTATAATTTTTTATTGATTTAATTCGATAAAAAAATTCTATGTGCACGGAAGATCCGTCTGTTGCTAATGAGGAATGTTAATAAAAAGCAAAATATTAAATTCGCTACGGATTTATTTAATTTGATTTGTGCCGTTTAAACGTTATGCCCACAATTACGTCCGTATACCAAAAATGGCGAATCGTGACGGACTCATTCGGCCTGGGCGGTAAAACTTCATATCGATAAGCCACATATGACACTCAAGGATGTGACCGACCTTAAATTTCAATACAAATAAGTTTCATGCTAATATGAGCTGTGCTACTTATGTAATACAATCCATTTTACGTTTTAAATATACGAGATCGTGACCTAGACATTTGAGTTGTCCTTATTGTTAAAATAGTTGATCCATTTCAACTAGATACAGTCATTGTCAGTGATTTTGTAGACCGATACTTAAAATTACCTTGCAATTTATACACACCCTATATAAGCTTTAATATCTTAACAGATTACTTTGAAATATCCAAAGAATGTCACTTTGCGAATCCCTTATCTCGCTATCCATACATCAATGACAAGTATTATGGTCCAAAGCTTGCTCTTTTTTTTATCCTAGCTGATCTTTATCTCAAGACCACACACGAAGACCAGTAGTTATTAACATATTGCATTAAGAATATTTTTAAATCTTCTATTTCGTCAGTATATCGGTTGGGAGTAATATATTTAATATCGAATGACCTGCAAATTAATGTTTCATTCCATAAAAGTCGAGAAGCCACAGACGGAAAGCGAACAAGTTTTTTTATACAATTTATGTTTATAGTCGAAAACGTAATGATGTCTTGTGATTTTAATTCGTACATGGTTTTATTTGGTCAATGAACCTTATATAGCGTAAGTAATTCTGAAGAAATATCTCCAATGCATATTTTAACGTTCAAAGTTATTGCCTTTTTTATCAAACTTTTAATGGTTCTTACTAGTTGGCGATTACTTTAACTAACTCAATTAGTTAGCTATAGTCGAAAGAAACTATTAAAAAATAATGAATGAAATATTTTCGCTGACTTCAAAGTTTGGTAAAGATTTTTGAGACAATTATTTTTCCTACAATTAAAAAAAGTAATAACATTAAAATAGGAATATAAACCTAGTTTGTATTTTAATTTGTGATTGTTTTTATGTGTTTTTTTCATTTCTTCTTCCATTGATAAATAATTATTCAAATATTTAAATCAATGTTCATGGAAGTCACCATTTTACTTAAACCATTCGCTGACTGACTCCAATGTGGCACCGTTACTATAATTCTTCATTCAATCGCGTGTTTCCTCCTTAATTGATTACTTTTCGTGCTGTTCCACTCGATTGGACATGGTAGGGGCATCTCCGTGGTAGGGGAATCTCGCATCTTCAGCATTCCTACCATAGAAATATTCGCAAAGCAAGTTATATATGAAAGTAGATGTAAATCAATATCCTGGTCGCGTAATCAAAATCATTGATACATGGCGAACGGTCCATCTGTTTCAATCAAGGCGCATCGTTTCCTGAGCCCTGCCTTGTAAACGCTAATCATATATGCAATACATGTTGGCGTGTCCGATTGCTTTTCCTGAAAGAAAAGTGGATTTTAACATATTTATACCGTTTAAATGTTTGTTAAGTGTTAGTTTCTTATAAATAGTTCGTTGATACGGTCATTGCTGGCTATTTTCTTTGTAGTCTGATTTGTGATTTGATTTATGATAAGATTGTGGGTTATCTGAAGGACTCTGTTTTCTTTCAGGTAAGCTCAGTCACTATGATAAATAAAATTCTCCATATCCGTATATAATATTAAATTGTAGGCAGTAATAATTTCATATAACACAGTCTCACACAGTCAGCTATTGTCATTTGAACTCTCGAGTCACGACTTAATTGCTTGTTGTCCAACTGCGCATTTTCTCACACAAGTCAGCTACGCACATTTCTTTGTCGTTTCAAATTGAAAGTCTCATTAATGTTTTATGACACATAATCCAAAGATTAATCATTGGTTTTAATTATAGATATATAAATGTAAATACATAACATCATGGCATATTGATCATAGTGTTTAATTTTTGAAGAAAAATGTCTGTTCTGTATTTCATATTTGTATGTTAGTGCTCTTTAGTCGAAGTCGCAATCTTATTAACATATATATTGTGAAAGCATGTGCCCGCGATCCACGAGTTGAACTGAACGGACTAAATTCTCGTCTTAATAATAAAAATATTAAATATAATCACCAGATAGACAGCTGTTACAAAGGAAACGTCTCGAAAGATTCATTAAATAATTTAAGACGAAAATCTTTTTCATATTTCAATTCGTACATATATTATTCTCATTGTAATTCTATTCTCAACAATGTATTGTGCTTAAATTGAAGTAAAAAGCATACATTACAGTTATCGCTAATCTATCAGAGCTAATGGATTCGTTTCGTCTATCAGCTTCGATCTCTTTATCTAAATTGCCAAGTCCTTGATGCATTTCAACACTTTCAACGTTATTTTCAAACGGGATCGATGCAAAGCGATATAGAACATTTATCTGATCACGACACTGTTGTTAAGTTAAACGTTTATGAACAACTTGAAATTTGTTAATAAAGAACTAGCAACGAACTAGCAAAGAACTAACAACCGACAATGGACGCAATTAACCGTATGGTAGCTCAACATTATTAATAATTAGAGATTAAACCGGCGTTAAGCGTCAAAATGGACAAAATTTCCTACCAATATCAGTCTATTCTTTTGTATCCTGGTAATTTTAAAGCATATATTTCTCGATAAACTTAGGTCCATTAAAAATACATGACCAATTTCAACCTTAAAATGATTTAAACTAACAATAAATTTCTTTGTTCCAGGCTATAAAGCAGTTCGAAAATCGATTTGAAGCTTGCTAAGGAAAGAGACACCAGGAGTCCATAACGAAATACCACTGTCACTTGCGCACGCGATAGGCAGTAAAGAGTTTAGCGAAGACTGCAGTATAGATTCAGTAACCGACACTTGTGTGATGTGCCGGCAACACCACATGGAAGTGCAATTGGAGGTTACCTGATCTGAACGTGCTGGTTGGGAAGTGACAATGAAGTTCTCGACAGGCTCCAGCTCGAGCAGTCTGGCCAGCGACTCGCTGTCTAGGAAGTCCACTTTGTGCATCTACACAGAAGCTGATACTACAATGCCTCCACCACTTTGCGAGAGAGTGAGTATTATTCTATAATCATCCAAAAAAATTACTTTAAAACCCAAAGACGAAACCTCTTAGCATGCAATGGTTTCACCGTATGGGTGCCGGGTCCACCGCGTGGCAGGGAGAGGATCTTCAACAGTGCGTAGGACTTGCGACCGAGGTGTAGGTTCAAGGGGCCCCTATCTAACGCGCGTTAAACGCTCACCTCCACCGTCTAAGCTCCTTTCTCTACCTAACCAAATTTGAAAAGAACCTACTAGGGCTGCCTTTGAAGTACGTTCCATGATACAAGCATTTTTCGTTTGAAAGTAATTTGATGGTTTCCTGAACATTTTTTTTATTGAGCTGCCGAACCTCTTCTTCCGCATTTATATTTTAAGTATGACGTAATGATAATGGTATATTAGAATCTTTAACTCAAATGTCGGATGTATGACATTTATAAAATCATTTTAATTTAGAGACAAGTGTCACGAACGCAAAATATGTATATCCTGTTACGACCTGTCCTAATGTAGATCACGGTACCGGCGAGCGGTGGTTACATAATCGTTTTGGCTCCGATTTCATTGTTAAGCAAAAATTTATACACAAATCGATGTGTAAACAACACAAATCAGAGGAATTCACAGACAATTTCTGTGAAACTAATGGAATGTCTTCGATTTTCATTGAATGACTTTCAATTTCATTTGATATGAATTAACTGAAACAATGTAATCAGTCCGGTTCCCATGTTCAGGTGGAGAGAAAGTTATATGACATCTGCCTGTTTCGGCAAACTTGCAATACCTCCTCATATCTTATCCGATACAACATTATGCTTTTAATATACGACCATTAAAATTTCTCAACACCTTTCAAAGGAATGTCACTGTCGTTAACGCATTTACATTTGTCAATAAAAATTGTTGACAGTGCATAATTATGAACATATTTTCCAATAATTATTTTCAACTGATGTCAATTACGTAAGCACTAGTTAAAAGTATTGCGTATTTTATTGTAGTAAGTCGATTATATTGTTAAGCTGTTTGGTAAAATGCAAATTAAAATTTTGAATTAGGTACGCAATACGTACAGCTGGCTATTGTAATATTATTTGTTTACATTTAACAAGCATTATTACTTATATTATAAGCTGTTTTATTAAAAATTCGCACGCTACTTCGTTATTTCCATAAAGTGAATAACACAATAAACAGACGTCACGTTTTCACCGCCTTATCTGATAACGGAGTTTACTTTTATCATTTTTATATATTTTAACTTCCAAATGATATGGCAATAATGCAAATATGACGCTAATATATTACAAATTCATAGAACGTAACGTCCGATTGAGCGTTTCTTCCTGTGGCCCTCTGTTAGGCGACATTTTCCCTGTCAACGCGGAAGGAATACAATCCAAATCTACACCCTTACTACACGTCCGCTTATTTAAACTACAAACAGGCAGTTCCCAGTTTTTTGTTAATAATTTTTCAGATTTGAATCATTTTGTGTAGAAAATAAGACTAGAATTTGTATGTTTATATGAAGCGAACTAATGGTAAGCTTACTTGATTTCGATAGCTACCACAGTTCAAAACCCATCAGGCAATCTTGATCGTTTTCGTCTTATGACGTTACATTCAACGTTTTATTTATCGTAACGTGTCCGAAGGCCATCATTGTCTCAACTGTCGCACGTGATGCTCTTTTAAATCAGCACTTTCACGGCTATTATAAATTTAATAACATAATAATTGTCGTGTCATTACTGAGGTGTTTCTAAATAGTTTTTTTAATTAATGATATAGAAAATACCGTTGCCAATGAATGGCATATCGTTAATAGTCTATGTATATATATATTTTTTTATATGAACAACTTATCTGCTCTAAATTTACTCTATGTTAACTACTTTAGCGGCCCCGGGCTAGGATCGTAATTCAATGGCGTTTACCGTTGCTTGAATGCCTCTATTTTGATTTAAGATATAATGTTAAAATAGGTCACAGTATCTGTTAACAGCAATCTATTGTGCTTCAAAGATTTCCTGTGTGAATGTTCTTCGTAGCCGTTAATTACATATAAACGAAATAAACAATTGTCTTACTGAAGTGTTTTCGTCACGATTTTACGTGTACACTCTTAGTCTGAGTATGCATAGTTAAACTATATAAGAAGCGTTTCATGTTCGAAGATTTTTCAATAGAAAACTATGGAGTGAAGATATTAAAATAAGCATTTCTTTAACCAATTTAGTTTCTTTGATGTTATTTAAAATATCCCAGCTATTTTTGCGACTACATTCAATCTCATGAGCCAACTATTGATTTTCTTCTATCTTATCTGATTGATGATATCCTGGAGTTATTTTATAGATAAGACTAATTATAGATAAGCCATATTTGCTTTGTCAGCAAAAACGTTATAATTCTTTGCAAGTATATTTATAAAACCTGATATTTCTATGCTTAATAATAGTTATTCATGGTTTTGTTTGATTCAAATTAAATTAACCTTTCCTACATTAACATAGATGAACTAAATTGATCATATATTTGGAAGATTATTAGCTCTTATTTTAATTGTACCGCCACGTTCTGCGTCTATCGTCCTTGATTGATCTGCGCGTGCGCAAATGCACGACTCTTCTCTGACACGCTCTGAATTATTACATCAGATGTGCATCACTGTTGCGACTTAAGTTATGTAGAAATTTGTGCAGATTTTTTCAAGCATGCTCCATTGTATTGTCATTTCTATTACAGTTAATAAGACTGAAATCGTTGACATATCTTGAAACATATCTGTCTAGTATCAACAGGTTTATAAAATACAATTGCTTCAATACAATTAGCGTCACTATTAATACTCATCCATAGTTTTTATTGCAGCTAGTTAGAAACAAGGCTAGGTCTATTTACAACTGTGGGTAGGAATAAAAACTGAGTATACAATTAATGATGCTACGATGTTATTGTGTTATCAATAGTTTCATCAGGGTTGTGGCCATGTTACGATACGCACGAGAAACATCTTTTTTTTATATAAAGATTGATTTACACCACATATTATTATGAAAGACTTGCTAATTTCTTATAAAATTAAACATAAGTAAATAAATAAATTTCATCTTTAAATAGTCATAAGTATAACTATTGTTATTATTAGTATATTAATATTAGTTACTTAATAGTATATTATTATTAGTCAGTGGTGCCCTATGGCTAAAAGGCCCGCCCTTCATGCACGAGGGCGTGGGTTCGATCCTGGCCCTAGCAAGTACCAATGTGATTTTTCCGAGTCATATGTACTTTCTAAGACTATTTAGACGTCACTGATTAATGCATTCCCAAAGAGTGATGATGTCAGGCAGGCGGCCAATCGTAAAAACAATTAGCCAAAACTATTCACAACATGTAAGGCAGACCCTGGCTAAAGCTGGGAAATTGCCAGGTAGATGGCAGGATGTATTAGATTTTTCATATAAGGATTAGTATAAAAACTGTTTGATATAAAAATATATATGGCTAGCAATAAATACGTTATCATATTAAACCGGCTAGTAGAGTCGATGGTGTTTGAAGTTTTGTCGTAGAGCGAGTCAAGCTATGTAGGCTTAGTTAATTTTTCGAGCGGAAAACTATATGGACGTTACAGTCTTGCAAAACGTTTATTAGGACACAAGTTGAATTGAACATATGCAAATCAGCGTGAAATTCTTGCGAAATGATTTGATCTCATCTTGCGATCTCTGTTTTAATGCAACGCGGTATTATAATAGGCAATTTTTCACTATTTGGTTGTTATTGTGAAAATCATTGTTCTATTACGACTATGTGAATTTATAATGAACTTATTTATGTTTCAAATGGTTTATGAATGTTATTTGTATGTAATACATTTGAAGGTTTTCATACTTGTTGTAATTTTGAACGCGACATGCACTTATAAGGTTTTGCGTTGATAACGCGGTCTTCGTTATGCGGGCATTACTGATGTCTTTGTTAAAATAACGGTTAATTCTGGTTATATGACTAAGTTTGGTTGGTTCTTTGAATAAATAAACATGTATAATTATACACGGATTAATTTTTAACCGTTGAATAATAAAGCATTTGTAGGACACAGTCGGTTTTCTTTAAATTTTTTATAGAATTAAGATAGGGTTTCCGATGTTCGAAAGAATATTTAAAATTTTGTGATGTCTATGTATAAAAATATAGAAATAATATTTTACATGAGTTTCTGAGTATGACATATAAAATTAAATACAAAACTTTTGAATGCTTGAAATTTGCCGTGAATTCCTTATATTAAAAGTCATAGTTATTTAGTTCTTTTTATTCTTATATACAAATCATAGGCAATTTTCTTGTTAATATAAAATCCGTTTCACTGAACCAATGAAAGTGAAATAAAAACATCACATTATTATAAAATAGAAAGGACAGCAAGGGACTGACGCCCGCTGAATATAAATGACACTGACGGATTTACGACATATTAAATATGATTTAGATTTGTATGAAGAAACGTCCTCACAATAATAAAGCCTGATATACACGTATTTTATGACATTTAAAGCAGAAGAATTTATCATAGAGTATAATAATCTTCTTCTACCTGACAATTTCCCAGCTATATCCAGGGTCTGCCTTACATGTTGTGAATAGTTTTAGCTAATTGTTTTTACGACCGGCCGCCTGTCTGACATCAACCCTCTTTAGGGAAAGGAATCGAACCCGTGCCCTCGTGCATGCGAGGCGGACCTTTTAGCCAAAGGAATAATATCAACATTTATATATTTAAATCTTAATATTTAACATAAATCCACAATTTACATTATCATTATCGATTTTATATTAGTTATTAAAATGACTATAAAGCATTAAGGTTTCGACATTAAAACTAGTATTACTGGTTCCGTTCTAATGATATTACAATATAATTATTGATTCACAGAACATTTCTTTAAGCTTATCGACTAATTTTAATTACAAATCAGTTGTTGTATGTCA